GGCAGTCCCCGGTAATAAAGTGATGAACAATACCTGAACCCTGTAAAAGCGGTAGCAAAATTAGGAGATCCGTACCAGACCCAACTACGTCAGGGTCGCCATGCAGACCAAAGTCTCACAATCCCCGAGATCAAATGAGCAAGGGTCCAGGGAATTCAGGAACTAGGTTCGACTCTGCAGAAGCGGAGATCATAATTCCAAAGTACCAGCAGACCGAGGCACCTGTAGAAAGGTCCTGAGACCAAACAAACGGAGGAGACTGGTCCGCGTCTCCGTGTCGAACACTCCTGGAGGGAAGCATCCATCGCTGAGCAAACGGGTCCGTCATCCAGCCGAACTGGTCGGGGCCCGTGGACTAAAGTCTTGACGCCGGGTCCTCCCAGAGAAAACTATTCCATACGTACGAGAACTCGGCAGATGAGAACGTAGGAGGCACCCCCTTACCTCCAATCCGCCCTCCAGGACTCCACTCCTTGAGATGTAGAGGAGGTCGATATTTCCCTGGTTGAAAACGAAATCCAGGGACTCAAACAAGGGAAAATGCAGGGAGCGTCTGACTTTTCGGTCTGTTAGGTACCTCGCAGGGGGTCCGGCAAGCCCGTCCAGGTAGACCGTACAGCAAGATGTCTTATATCGTTGAAGAGTCGCGTCCGGGTCCCAACGCGTGGAAAACAAGAAAGTGCAGGTATTCCTGAATGTCCTCAATTCCTCCCAACCAAGTTGTATTGTCGCCCAAATGACTGATGCACAAGATACCTATCTCACCAGGGAGAAAATAGAGGTCACCTTACCAGAACTGGGCCCCGCAGTCACTAGAAGTTTCTTGAGGGCCACGTCTAATTCAAAGTAACTAATGAATATACGTTCAATCGTACACTCGTGCCGGGACTCGTAGACTCGTGCGGTCCAAATTGCGTTTAGGATAGGGTCGTCTGCCACCCCAGACTCGGGGCCCCGTCTGGGATGTCATCCGAAAGTGGAGGCAAGTGTGAAATTCCTGGTCCAATCCCCTCTAAAAGGTATGGGTTGGAGCTGAGAAGCCTCCGTCAAGTATTTCCATGTAAAAAAAAGACACATCTTATACTTCCTCGTATGTTCCACTAGTACAACTCACTCGTGTAGCAGAGAACAATCGGCTTGCCAGTGCGGACTTAATAGTATAGGCACTGCAGTGGGCCGCACTCAGCATCTCCTGAATACTAGACAGGTGCTTAACCAGCAAAACCGCAGTGCCCCATCGGGGTCTAAGTCTGGGTTTGCGGCTACTTTGTTCGGGAGCCCGGCTGGGAACACCGCTCGAATTATCCTGCGGGCTTCTCAAGCCAGCGGTCTACGGGCCCAGAAACGCACCGATGGTGCTAGGTGATCAGGCAGAGACCATTCCAAAGAAACCAGAGGAGCAATGGATCGAGGGTCAAACAGGGGTTCGTTTAAAGCGTTCCACGAGACGACCTCTTCTTCCACGGTCACTGCGATAGTAATCATTGTCTGCACTGTTAACCTGGATAAGGTTTCTCCTGTGCAGCGGTCCCAGGCAAAGCGACCTCAAGGAGTATAGAGAAGTGTCACCGGCAGGGAGATAGGTGCAGCACCCCATATAGTGACCGAGGCAAGTTGGGCAGCGCATGCAATGCACAAGCGTGAGTATGTGGTAGTAGGCTTGGCATGCAGACATTCTGGCACAGACAGCACAGGCCAGATCAATGGGGCACAGACAAGTCAGAACCTTCAGAGATGTACAGGTGAGGAACTGCGCATTCAATTCTTCCGATAAAATGTACCTTTCGCTCTTCAGATAAGATGTACCTAACACTTCATATTAATAGCACATAACACACTTCTATGTAACCGTAATTAGCCTTCTACTGTGTTACTGTATATGGCCTACTGTGTGACTGTATATAGCCTTCTACTGTGTGACACTAGATAACGCACTTCAGTTAAATAGTGCCGGACACGCCGTAAATAGCATATTGAGCACACCTGTAGTCAGGGAACTCACCAACTGAGTTACCTCACAAGAGGTGCTCCATTGGTCAATATGATAAAACAGAGCACTGCAAGCAATCATCTGAACAAACAGTTATGCCTGTAACCCTTGAGGGGTTGTGCACAGCTCTATATAGCAAGCCTGTGATCTATACCATCCACTATGGTCCCCAGTATACAAAAATGTACAGGTACACCAAATCGTGGATAGAACACACACTTAGTGAGTAACAGATAGAAAAAAATCCTAAATACAATTACCCTTGTACTATAAGTACTGTAGATAAGGACTCCTCAAGGTCCTCAAAATAGTGTCAAAAATTTAAAAAAAAAAAATCTACAATACAATAATAACAGAGAAACATCGTATAGTACTGTCATAAAAGTTGAAAAAAAAAATGGAAAATTAGTAGTAATTGCACTCACAAACCAAAATTGATTGTAGGCATATCAAGTTCGTTGAAAAACTTAAAATTCACAGGACATCATGGCCATTGGGATCCTGTGATCGAACTGACAATGTATGATGTGTCTGCCACTTCAATTTTGTAAGTGCATTCATATATTAAAATATCTATTTTTACTGTGATACTCTGCACTATTATTATTCTTTTTTCTTCCGCATACTGGCCATGATGTCCTGTGAATTTTAAGTTTTTCAACGAATTTGATGATATGCCTACAATCAATTTTGGTTTGTGAGTGCAATTACTACAAATTTTCCATTTTTTCAACTTTTAAGGCAGTACTATACTATGTTTCTCTCTGTTATTATTGTAGATTTTTATGGTCCCCAGTAGCCTAACCTGCCAGCCACATGGGGCACAAAGCCAGGACAGCCTGAGGGTGCATTGCGCCCAAATCCTAGCTCAGTCCCAGGCAAAGCTACAGCACATGTGCCTGCCATCGACGGAACTAATGCGGTAAGTCTGGTAACTGGACCGCTTTCCGGCAGCCGAAAAGTGAAGGGGGCAAAGCCATAAGAGAAAATACATCCCCACAGCAAAAAAGTAGGGAAAGAAAAATACAATCTAAATAAATCATAATGGCAGTAGGAAGGTAAACACATTCTAAACAAATAAATCCCTGTAGCCATTATAAGGTAGATGCAGAAAAACCAGAGTAAAAATCACTAGAGCACTAAGAAGGTAAGTGAAGAAAATACAGGTTAGCTAAATCATTCCCTACAGCACTAAGAAGGTAGATGCAAAAATACAACAAACATATACAGTAAAATATCCACAACCACCCATATATAACAGGAGGCAGTGGTACTGTGACCTGTACTGACTGCAGAGGAGCAAAGAAAGAGGAAATAGTTGGAAGAAGCTTTTTATTGATTCCTGATTTTTTGTCTCTGGTGTTTTTATCTCTATGTTAATGTGCTGCTGTGGAGTTCTAGTAAAGAGAGACTTAAGCAAATGTGAAGCCTCCTGTCATGCTATAAAATTATAGGGAATTCAATGTCAATTCAAAGTGACAACTGCGTTGGAAGTTTCCTAACTTCGCTATAGGCTCACCGTGTCAATTTTAGCATTAACCTTAGGTTTTCCTACTCAAAAAAAAAAAAAAAAAGTTTTGAAATTCGTGGCTTTAAAGCCGTCGCGGCGGCATAGAACGCCGCAACGTCTTAAGCCCACCGATAGGAGGTACTTACCTCCGCCGCGATCCTATTCTGGAGGGCTGCCTGACAGCCCTCCTCCAGCACGTGTGGCCCCCTATAGCTGGCTGGGGATCTGCCAGCAGGGTAGCTGTCTGAAATATACAGTCCCCCTGCTTGTAGAAAGTGTTCATTAAAAAAAAAAAAAGGGTTCGCCACGGACGGCGAACATAAACTGTGACCCTGTACCTCACAGTCAGCAGACACATTCCAGCCAATCAGCAGCCGACCCTCCCTCCCAGACCCTCCCACCTCCTGGACAGCTCACTAAGAATGCAGCTTCACAATGAATGTAAAATGGATGCTGTCCAGGAGGTGGGAGGGTCTGCTGCTGATTGGCTGGAAGGTGTCTGCTGACTGTGAGGTACAGGGTCAAAGTTTGTTTATCATCTGCGGCGAACCGTTCGGGACATCACTAATACACATTTATAATTACAATAATAAAATATTGAAACAAATCTAAATTATGTATTCATATGTAATTTCATTCTAACTGTATTTTGTTACTATATTGGTAACAAAACACACTTAGAATGACATTCTATATATAAAAGAAAAAATTACAAATAACCGCAATTACATTAGTATACATGTAGAATTTAAATACCTATAAATGCACATATATTAAAATTCTACATGTATATTTAAGTAATCTTTTAACATAATTATGTGATTTGATTTAAGTTTGATTGACATGCCTGACACATGGAGAAAGTGCAGAGAATTTAATTCGCAAACACTATATTTGACCCTGTAACTCTCCAAGACACCATAAAACCTGTACATAGGGGGTACTGTTTTACTCGGGAGACTTCGCTGAACTCAAATATTAGTGTTTCAAACTGGTAAATTGTATTACGATGATATGTTAAGTAAAAAAAAGTGACTTTTTGCTTTTTCCCCCCCAAACAAACAGCACTTTTATGGACTATTATTTTTGTAATAAGTTTACAACACTAATATTTGTGTTTAGTGAAGTCTCCCGAGAATAACAGTACCCCCAATGTACAGGTTTTATTGTGTTTTGGAAAGTTAGAGAGTCACATATAAGGCTTGCATTTCATTTTTTGATATTGAAATTTGCCAGATTGGTTATGTTGCCTTTGAGACTGTATGGTAGCCCAGGAATAAGAATTACCCCCATGAGGGCATACCATTTGCAAAATTAGACAACCCAAGGTATTGCAAATGGGGTACGTCAAGTCATTTTTAGTAGCCACTTAGTCACAAACACTGGCATTCTTCATAAGAGCTATTTGAACCCACAGGAATGTAGATTCAGACACTCAGGTTTGTAATAAATTTGTAATGGGTAGGAACACTCACAAGCTACAGACACCACAAAAAACAATTTAGAGTGTTACGGTTGATGTTCTTTATTGTAGTAAGTGCAGAGATAAACTAGACAGTTAGAACATGCACACCCATGATGTGCTACAGCAAACAGTGTTAACTGGTTACAAGAAGCTTGAGAACACTGAGGTAGCATAGTAACCATTAAATGAATGCAACGCTACAGGAACTGTTACAGTTTAGCAACCCGTCATGGAGATTTGTTTAATTTGCAAAAGTAGATTTAACAGCAGCGACTATGTGTTTAGCACTGATGCCAAACATGTCCAAAAGCTCAGTAGGCTTCCCACTTCGAGGTACCCCATTAACCGCGAGGCTCTGAACGATGAACCCCGGCTGTCCTGCTACAGCTGCAGACACCGCTTCTCCAATTCCCCCTGGAGAAAAAATAAATAAAATAAAGTTATACCGTTAGGAGCAAACAGAACAAAAGCTTGCACAATAAAAGGCCTTAAGGTAATGCAATGTTTAAGCATAGCAGATTCACGCGTACAGCACTATAAGTATTGCCTTCGACAGAGAGAACATATGAAGTTAACTATGGCTATTCTAGAAAGGGAGTGATGTGCCAGACATTCTAAATACTGAATTGCATTAGACTTCAGTGGCTCTACAGCTGCAAACAGACTTTGCATTAAACCAGTACTGGATGAATTAATCCACAGAATACCCTGCTCATAGTATGGTGGCTCTGTCACCATAGTTTTATATAGACATTACCGGTAGTTATGAGGCCACCAGATAATGGCAGAGGCAATATATTTTTTTTCCCATGATCAACGATGGGCTACCAGAATACGGTTTCCCTGACATAAGTTAGTGTTTGGGTATTCTTGCAGTACATTTATATCCGATTATCTTGCAAGATTGGACGGGACTACATCACGTCTGGTTTGAGATTGCTTGCTGATCGGGAGGATGGATAGAGATATATATATATATATATTTAGGGGACCATTTACCAACAATTGCATCCTTTTAAGTTATAAGCTTGGTCCCTTTAGATGTCTAGTGTTGTGACTACCAGAAGACATTACCATGTTGAAATCACAGAAGGTGGCTGACTTTGTAGATCGCATTATGTAAAAGGTCAAACTAGGTTAGCACCATAACTACAGCACACAAAATTATATTGAGCCTTTCAAAGCTTATCAAAGTCCTTTGAAACAAAGTACAAAGAGACTCCTGGTTGAACGTGTGGACAAGTGACCATTCTAAAAGTATCTCAGTTCAGGTTTTTGAAAAACCCAAATGTGACTGCAGTCTAAATTGCAGACAAGTGTTCCTTTCTCTTGCCACTGAGCTACTTCTATCTGGGTCAAGACAGTGTTTGCTACCAATTACCTTCTCTGTAATGATCCTCAACAGTAATTATATGGCCGCCTGTAGCTCTTCCACTTGATATAATCGTTGCCGCATCCAATGGCTTGATTGTGAAAGGGTCGATCACACGGATATTTATGCCTGTGGAGGGGGTTAAACAGCAAGTTAGTCCGTTATTCTGCATACAGCCGTTGATAGGTTGTGTCGAGGTCAAACACCGCAAAGTGCACTTTAAAATATGTGAGAAGTCATAGAAGACAGTTACCTTGTTTGGAAAGTTCATCAGCAGCCGCCAGAGCTTCATGTAGAGTAACTCCTGCGCCAATTACAGTTACCCGGTCAGAATCGCTTTGACGCACCACCTGGTAGATAAGGAACACTTGTTTAAAGGCAAATTGTCACTTCTTGGGAAAGTTAAACAAACAAACAAAAAAAAAAAAAAAATAAAAGAATGTTGTCAAAGTGTATTAACACACTAGATCAATGTTAAATAGCTTAAGAATATGGTACAAGAGTCCCTACTGTACCAATATAAACCTGCTGAAAATGGTTTTCTTGGAGGTCAATTTGTTTTCCTTGCGGAGTAAATCATCAAGTCTTAGTAGAGCAAAGTTGTTTTCTTAAAGTTATACCATTTGAAATTGAAACTGACTTGTTTAGTCAACATTAATATTTTGCACAGCCTGTTGCCTTTTCATTTTGGATTGTTAGGGTATCAATGCTACAGACTTGTACCTTTAGAGTTACCGCTGTACCACTCCCCCTCTTTTTTGTACACCATTTTAGAATATTTGACTTTAAAAATAGGGTCAACTGTTCACCACTACAGAGAATGCAGGGATAGCCCAATAGGCTGGCTTTGCTCAGACAGCTTCAATATCTGACTGAAGTAGTGAAGCCAGGGAGCAGCTCCCAGATAGCAAAACCTGCAGACCCAGATAAGTGGTCAGGCCATACCAAGACATGCTGGGCACCATAACTACATAAGGGGCTGTACTGGGCATGCAATCTTGGGGTCATATTTGATGCTAGCCTCACTTCCAGCAGGTTACCAATTCCTGTAGATTCCATGTTAAAAACATAGCCCGCATCTGCCCCTTGCGTATGCAAGATGCTACCAAGGAGCTAGTCCATGCTGTAATAATTTCCCTCATTGATTGTAACCCTCTCCTAATTGGTCTTCCCAAAAGCCGTATTGCCCAGCTACAGTCTGATGAATGATCCCGCCAGACCTCACCCCTCTGCCAGGCCTTACATTGGCTTCCTGTATGAGTAATTCAAAGTGCTACCCCATACATATAAAGCACTGAACAATTCTAGGCCCTCTTATATCTCCTCACAAGTTATAGTAATGCCCCTTCTCGGTCTCTCTGCTCCAGTGACCTTCTCCTGTCCGCACCCATACTGCCAACCTGCGCTTGCAGGACTTCTGGTGGGCGGCTCCCTTCCTATGGAATAGCCTGCCTACCACCATCAGACTCTCCCCTAGTCTTCAATCCTTTAAGAAGTGCCTTAAAAATCCATCTCTTTAGGAAAGCTTATGGCCTCCCAGAGTAAGCTCTACCTAGCTCTGCTTCTCTCCCACCTTGATTGCCATTTCCTGTCCTAAATGTGCTTTATACCCCACCGCCTACAGACTAAGCTATTTTGAGCAGGGTCCTCAACCCATTGTTCCTGTAATATAGTTCCTATTTATAGTTAAATTCCCTCTCATACTATTGTAAAGTTCTACGGAATCTGTTGGTGCTATATAAATGGCAATAATACTGTTATGGTGTGTTCCTTTGGGAGACTAGATAGGCCGAATGGTTTTCATCTGCCGACACATTCTATGTTTCCTTTACAGAAAAAAGGAATCTTCCAGCCAGAATGCATCTGACTAGCACAAGTTCTTAAATTTGTGTGTTTTACCTTTGCTTGCCCAATCTCAAATTTCTCTTCAGGAGAATAAATGACAGCTGTGTCAGGCCGACTGGTCCGGATGAAACAGATTCCCTAAGTGAACAACAAGGTTACAGATTACAACTGAAATTCAGCATCGGTTCATTACACATAGTCATATCCAAGGTGTATATCTTACTTGAGTATTTGCAGCAAGAAACACTGCATGTTCAGTGGAGACGCCATCACTGGGATAGAAGACTGTGCATGTTGGAATAGCACGGAACATTGCAATGTCTTCTAAAGCCATCTGAGAAGGACCATCCTCACCTAAAGACAGGCATAAAAACAAGTCACTTTTTCCTTACTCCAGAGGCGTTTGTGGTTTTTTAGACAATTTATCATTGTTTAGATCTTAGCTGTATGATTTACAGCTGGTTTAAAGATCTTGTGGAAAGCCAATCTAGTATTTGATAAAGGCTGGACACAGCCTCCAGATAATTCTAGCATGGATAAATAACCTAGATCTGACCAACTCTTATCTGTATCGAATAGAGATTGGTTTTTTTTTTGGCAGTATTTGAAGTGGTTACATAGAGTCACTGTGTCAGTTGTCAGAGCCAGGTCTTGCTGCAGCGTCTGTTCACTGTAGATTTGTGTGGAGTAAAACTACTCACCAATAGATACACCGCAGTGAGAACCACAGAGATTGACATTTGATTGAGAAATGGCTCCCATACGAATGTGATCATAGGCCCTACTGAGGAAGGCAGCGAATGTGCTTGCAAAAGCAACAGTGCGATTCCTGGTGGCACAGCCCATTGCAACACTGACCTTTAGAGAAAGAAGAGGTTTAGTACAATTCAGGTTTCATAGATTAAGCCATGTATCAAATCTTGGGACAGGCATAGAAGAGAATCAATGAGTTTCAGCCATTACTAACAAACAGACAGTCTTCAGAGTTGGAGTGCAGAGCTAGCTCCTTGAGCCACGATAATGGGCAGGAACATCAAATGGGAAAATTGGCAAAGAGTTATCAGACCAGGAAGTGGCAGAACTGGCCAGAGGAGACAAGAATAAGAGCCTAAGATCTGTAGGAGATTCAGCACTTTTATAAGGCACCTGTGCTAGCCAGTAACAGAATACTGCACCATGTGTTTCATGAAGTCATAGCAAAGGCTCAGAGGAGGGGGAATAAAAAAAAATAAATAAAAAATATATATATAAATAAAAAAAATAAAAAAACATTTAGGTTGTGGGGAGTGGTGACAAGTAGGATCAAGGATGCAACTCCAGTATTTAACAAGCAGGAAGTCATACTAAATAGAATATGAGTGACAAGTCCATGCAATTTAAAGTTGATTCAATAAGCATTTTAAACTCAAATGCCAAACTGAAGAAACTTCTTGGAGAATTTGTAGTTTGGCCTAAATCAGGAAATTTACTTTGCATTCCTGCCAGCTCTTAATTTATTGAATAAACCCATAATGCTTGTTGGAGATACTGCAAGTCAGTATTACTCACCATGTTCTGCTCAGCAATAAAACACTCAATGTAGCGGTCTGGGTGAGCTTGCTTGAAGATCTCAGAGAAGGTGGAGTTTTTGGTATCACCATCAAGGGCAATGACACGATTGTTGGCATGTCCTAGTTTAGCAAGGGCCATTCCATATGCCTTACGAGTTGCGATCTAGAACAAAGTATGTAAAAATGCAAGATAAATTGTGTGGCAGCAGAAATATTAGACATGCCAGTCAGTTTTTACTGCTTGTCACCTTATCACCAAGTTTGTAGCTTGGAGGAGAAGGCATCTTAATGCCAGAAATGTCCACAGCTGGAGCATCCATAGTTGGAGCAGAAGGACTCAGTTTTTTGTTGGTCTGGATTTTATTTTGGATCTCATTAATTACTGACTCAACCTTGTCTTTAGGCATCGGCTTTCCATGCCAGTTGTCTTCATTTTCAACTCCTGGAAAGACAGGATATGGTTAAAATAAGTGACCATCCTAGGAGGTCCACCATGTTATCAGATTAATGTTTTTCAGTAAATAGAGAAGTCCATTTTACCTGTAATGCCCTTCCCTTTGTAAGTTTTTGCAATGATGGCTGTGGGTTTATCCTTTACTTGGGCTGCTTGCCATAGTGCATAGCAAAGCTCAGCCACATCGTGTCCATCTACAACACATGTGTTCCACCTGAACAGAAGTACACATGTAGTTAGCACATACAGCAGTGATGTCATGACAGCTGAAGAACTTTATACATGTGGCTTTGTTTCATCAATATTGCAGTCAAGGTTTTAACATGTCACAATCTGCAGGTTGACTGCTATTAAAATAATTAAGTCAAAAGCAACACACACACACACACACACACACTTTAAGGAAGGAGGGATGGATTTTCTCTTTTTACCCAAAAGCTTCACATCTCTTTTGGTATATCTCAGTCTTGTGTTGAAGAGGAGCTGCCTCACTTTGACCCAGTCGGTTTACATCGAAGATTGCCACTAAGTTGTCCAACTTGTAATGGGATGCAAATGCCATCGCTTCCCAGACAGCACCTTCAGAGGATTCACCATCACCCATCAGGCAGTAGACTCGGTAACTAGGATAAATTGAGACAGGTCAAGATTTAGAATCAGTTCTCATACATTCTAGCTCAAAAGGAACACCAAACATTTATCCCTGACCCTATAGTGTTATCCATTTAGGTTTGCATGCCCCAAAATAAAAAGATAAAAATCCACACACCTTCCTTCAAGCATTGGACAGCTCTGCCTCCTTGCTGACAGAATTTATGTGTTCAGCCAATCCAGTAGTTTCCCATAGGGAAAGCATTGGACTGTATGAAATGGGTGTGAATGCAGGACAGGAGCACCTCCTCAGAGATGCATTGAATCAATGCATTTATGAGGAAAGTTCAGCATCTCCATCTGACTGGAGGCATCCCGGGGGGGGAGAAGGAATGTAAACACACACAGTTTTTTCTCTGAAAAGGCAGTGTTTGCATGAAAATGATTATACTCAGCAGAACTACATTAAGCTGTAGTTCTGGTAACTATAGTATCAATGCAAAACTTTTTTTTTTAATTCTCAAAGTGACAGTACTTTGACTCACAAGCATCAAGTTTGCAGATGCCTAAGTAGTTTAAAAGAGACAGTATAAAGCAACATTGTGGGCACAATCTTGACTTCATTGGTATGGAGTGGTTCTGGTGCCAGGAGGTCCCCATTGCTGACAAGTCATGTATGACCAGTTTAATCCAAAGTCTCAAGTTCAGTGTCAGTTAGCCATGCTTCCCAGACACTCAGAGAAGTCCCACTCAGGGGTTTCCTCTTTCAACCGTCTCAGAAGCATTAACATTTTGACTCCAAAAAGTAAGCCGGCTCCAGGGATCTCTTGGCACTATGACTTAAAGGGTTTCTTTAATATTGCAAAAATGGTTCTATAAAACAAAGGTGGTTTACCTGGCCTTGTCAAAGTATTTGCCAGTATAGGCCATGCCACAGGAAGCACCCAATCCTTGTCCCAGTGAGCCAGTTGCTACATCAACAAATGGGAGTTTCTGCAGAGAAAGAAGGGATTTAGGGCAATCAGGTTCCAGCTCTCACCATTATCTGGATGAAATTCTCTCTGTATACACTCACAGGTGTTGGGTGTCCTTCCAGGTCACAGTCTATTTTCCTCAAGTTCAGGAGGTCGGATTCTTTCAAAAAGCCTGCCTCCGCCCAAGCAGCATAGAGAATAGGTGCAGCATGTCCCTGGGAACAAAGAAATGGTTTTAAAGGTGGGACAGAGGGACAGAATATAGAAAAAGGCTCTGTCCAAAATTTGGTCAATTCTACATTTATATTGAGACACCAGCTCAAGCATAACTTTGCCAGCTTATTACTGCATGGGTTAGTGTAGAGTCCCAACAATTCCTGACCGTTTCCAGATACTGCAGTTCTGCTGGGTCAGTCATCCATTAGCAAACTGCAAGTGTTCTGTTTAAATGGGTATAGGGATTTCTGATAGAGTGCAGATAACTGGTTTTGCGCCATATATTTGGGATTAATACTACAGCCACTGCTGATGCTCAAGCATAGCGCAAGTTTGAGCACAGGGCTGAATGCAGTTTGCTTTCTCCAAGGGATTTTTTAGAGGACATTTGATGTCATCTTGTAGAGTGTGACGATGTCCAGCGTCAGTTAGGCGACCAGACGTCACCTAACCACCCAGGAGGGCCTTAAGTGGCGTTAGCCCTGCAAGGTAGTTATGGCATTTTCACAACTGCCATAATTACAGTTGTAGGGTTACGGGGACTGGCACAGTGCACCCAGATCAATTCAATGAGCTGAAGTGGTCTGGGCACCTACTGCCTCCCTTTAAGCTACAGATTTCCATCAGAGATATATTGCCTTTTAGCCAAAAGCACCAAGGTGAATGGATTGTACTCCGACACCTGCCTTGACATTGCAAGTTTCCACATTGACCATTGCAGTGATATCTGATGGGGAGGCAATCTAGCACCATAACAGCCTTGCATGATTTCAAAGATGGTGCAGCAAGCACACAGCCTGCTTTCAGCTTAGAATTGCAGCAAAATACATACAAAAACTACAGATCTAGGCTAGCGGTCAGAAGGAACCTCTAAGAATGCTGCCTAGATCAGTTTTGTCAGATTGGATGCAGAGCTTGCACACCATATGAAACATGACCAAACACACCCATCCCTTTGTCCACAGCCCAGTGATTGAGTTTGATGGCTCCTGAGGGATAAACTGCTTAACATCTGCCAAATGTTTAATGATAGACTAGCATCCATTAATATTAAAATACTGTGGAAAAAGGAACACCCCTTCTACTGTCTGAGTATGGGCTTATAGTTCCTGTATTTTCTGCAAATCACAGTTACAGATTACCTATGGGTGAAATCAGCTGCATTGTACTCTGCATTGACAGTCCCAAGTGTGATTTTTTGATATGGCAAATTAAAGGGATACAAAGTTTGTTCCTTACACTATAGCTCCCTCTGGCCCCCACACAGCATTGAAAGTGTTAAACAAAACCACTTACCCCATTTCAGTGCTGATCTCTCTTGGCACTCCGCCTCCTCTGACATCACCTGATTTGGGGAAGGGAGCCAATGCAAATGTGCGGCAAGCATTGCTTTCCTAGGGAAATTTTACTAACGCTGGATTTACTCATGCAGAGCGCAAGTACGACCATCAGTTAGGCAACCAACAGTTGCCTAGCCACTACAGGCAGTCTTAGCCCTGCACTGTAATTATTGCAGGACTAAGGGGGACTGGGACACTGCACCCAGACCAATTCAATGAGATGAAGTTGGTCTGGGTGCCTATAGTGTCTACGTTACCCTAACAAGCACAGGTATGATAGACCTAACAGTTAAAAGCAGTTCTGTTACCTTACAGGTTAATATATAAATATACACACACGTATATTTTGCAACTTGGGGTGCAGCAGAGGCGAGGTATATTTATCCCTGTACGTGTCACCATCTTTCGCTCATGGCATGTCTGTGAAATTCCAGTACAGTCTGAGCAGCTCTCTGCATTAACAGACTCACTGCCAAGAGGCACCGAATTTTGTTAAAGATTGCGTGTAATAGGTTGAGGTACCTTCAATCAAAAACGCTTTGTACCATAACCACTACAATATAAAAGCTTTTAAAGTGTTCCATTAGACATCATTTGGATTCTGATGGTGTTTCAAGTCACTGTGCAGTGTCAGATTGTGCCATCACTAGGAAGGTCTATGCTCTCTCCAATGCCGCCATGTTATTTTTTGCATGATGTGCATTTTAAAATGGCTTAGTTTTAAACATGCTACTTTCACATGTTCCTGCACGCTCCTCACCTTAGACAGGACAAAGCGGTCATTGTTAATGTTGCCAGGGTCAGCCGCTTCATATTTCATGGTGTTGAAGAAAAGAACAGACAGGACTTCGGCAGCACTGCAGCAGGAAGTGGGATGTCTGCAGAGAGTCACCAGATACATGACAAATTAAACATTTTAATGCATACACAGTACAGTTAATTTCTGCACATCTTAAACTCAAGTGGTCACCAGCATGTGTAGCTCTATTGGACAACTTCGTGTTAACTAGAACAAGAAATGTTAGACTAGAACTCATACAAGTTCAGTGACCAGCAGCGAGGGTTCGTTGTTATATTTGAGAGATATTAATGGCTTTAAACAGGTCAAACAACCTTTGTAGCCATTAGATGTCTGCAGAGGCCTTGCTAGCAGACACGCAGGCTTTAACACCTCCCACCCACAATGGGATCATCTTCTTACAGCCTATTATGTTGGACATACACAGGGGAGGATGAAGGGCAGAGCTGCGAGTGTCTGTAGCCTTGAACAATTCATTAATCTGAAAGCATGGGAAAGTGCCACAGAGAATGACACATGGCTTCTGAAAGAGTTATAGCTCTGGTCCAGAAAATATATAAGACTATAGAAATGCAGCAAATAAGCATGGAATGAGAATTATATGGGTGACAAGAAGGCAAGTTGGAAACCCTCAGCTAATTGAATATAAAGATCAAAAGGACACTAGGTACCAAGACCACTTCATCTCAATCAAGTTGTGTGAATCCAGTGCCCCTGTCCCCTTAAAGGACGACTATATAGTGTCAGGAACATGGTTTATGTTGCCAGCAACCCATAAAATACACTTATTTTTTTTTTTTCTACCTTTATACCAGTGTTGTGCGGGTCTCGTGGTGACGGCTCTGCTCCCACTCCACCTCCTTGGTGGAGATCACCAGAATTGACAACCAATCCAATGCCTTCCCATATGAAAACATTGGGAGGCTATTGTGCATGTGCAGCAAAATGCCACGCTGCACCAATCAGCATCTCCTCAGATAATCAGTTAATCTCTACGGGAAACGTTCAGTGTCACCTGCTACTAGAGGGGTTCCTATGCAGTAGTGTAAACACTGCCTGTTATCTGAAAATGCCTGCAGGAACATACTATCGCTACCATAACTACATTAAGCTGTAGTTCTGGTGACCGTAGAGTGTCCCTTTAACCCTGCATGGGGACATCAAAACATCTACAAATTTGATTGTATGCTTTCCTTTGGGGAAACTGCTCAAGCAATCCAACATCAGCATGGTGACGCAGGGGGAGGTGACCGAGTTAGTGGTCATCATTCATTTAAATAATTAGGCTCAAAATCGTAGCTTTAAGTCACACCTCCAAGGCCTCTGGATAGAGCAGGAACTGTTACCTCCCAGCGGCAACATCCAGGCCTTTCCAATACTGGGCATAGGCTGAAGCACCCACAGTACAACCCCACGAGAGCTATGCTACAGATTGCTGGGTGATGTACTATATGCTTTCATGACTCTGTATTGCCTTATAAAAATACAAGTTATGTACAGCCATACCACTGCCACGTTTATATGGGATGGAAGGGGTTAAAGCGGACTCTTATCTCTAGGTCACATAGCATGGAACACCCCCGGCCATCATGACAGTAAAATACCACAAGGTTAATACCTGTTGCACGCCACATGATGCTAGGGCTCCCCTGCCACCAACAGCAACCTCACGCAAAGCAGCTCTTGTCCTAAACTAGACCCCAGTGGTTTACTACACACAGTTAACCCTTGTACAGCATACTTTTCTTAAGCTGAGTTATTCTAGCGATGTTTCTTCTGGCTATGTGATATATTTGGCTGAGAGAACCTGCACTGCTTATTACTTTAATCAAAATGAATGCACTGTTATAACATCCCCCACTGTTCTTATTGTTCCGTTACAATTGTGCAAAATTATGCATGGGGACTGCCTTTGGGGTACCACATGCCTGTATGTTACCCTTGTATGCACTGCAAAAATAAGGAAGAAACTAAATGTGTATGGTAAAACTGGCTCACTATAGTAACCCATACCACTTCAGCTCATTGAAGTGGTTTGGGTGCAGTGTCCCGGTCATGTTAATTATAGCAGTTTGATAAACTGCAATAATTACGTTGCACGGATAAGACTGCATTTAGATAGGCACTAGAGCTACGTCCGGCTTGCTAGGAGGCTTAGTTGCCTACCTGATGTTGGACATTCTCACGCTCTGCATGAGGGCTCCAAGCATCAGCTGAAATCCCATAGGAAAGTACTGATTCAGTGCTTGCCTGTTTTGTCCAAACGCAATCAGGACGCTCACTGTGCATGCGCATTAGGTCCAACGTCAGGGAGGAGTTGGACAGCACTGAGGGCCATCGGTGCTGGATTCTGGCAAGTGAATGATTGATTTTTTTATAACCCTTTCTGCACTGCAATCAGGGCAGTGTATAAAAGAGTGGTCTTATTCACAAGTGCCATTGTTCACATCTTTTCTGAAACGCTCCAAAACAATCCATAATTTAAACCACATTTTATCCCTGATAACATTACCATTCATTACTTTCCAAAAATTAAAGATAAAGTGAGGAATATGTCCAGGTGGAGAAATAGAAATAAAACCCAAAACAGTTTTTTTTGGTCAGTGGAATAGATAAAAATCACGAGACAGACACTAGAAGAGTCAGGCTTAATGAAAAGAAGACTCTATGAGAGAAGGAAGGCTGGCTGAGCATTATAGGAATTGTAGTTCAGAAACAAACACTTGATTATTTGTTACACCTGCTAAAAGCCAGAAGACGAGTCTAGTTCTTGGCAACAGAACATTAAGTAAGAGTAAAATGAAGTACTGAAGATTTGCAGTCGTTTAACCCTCTGAGTTCCTATTTAAAGTGACAGTCACACTCTGTACTGCCAGGAGAGGACTTTAATAAACACGTGGGGCAGGTGAAAGCAGTGAGCTGCAGAGCACCACGTGGGGGGCAGATACCAACGTTACAGAACGGGCAAAAAGGATAAGAACTACAGAAATCAATATCTGAGTGATTAAATACAGGGGTACAGATCAGACAGGAAACCTGGGGAGCGGATAGTGAATCCGGGGTGCAGAATACCACGTGGGGGGCATGCCCCAGGGCCCCTGAACCCCTCCACCACTCACCCTGAATTGGAGGCACATGTAGCCCTTATAGAGTGGATCCTCAGGCGGTTGGCCAGGTCCCTCAGGGCCTGTAGGTCTTTGTCTTCTGGCTGTTGGTAGGTGTCCATGGCTGAGGATGATACAAGGCGTGCAATGCTGGGGCCTGAGAAAGAATGGGAAGGGCTTTAAAGAGCTGTCACTGACCCTCCCCCTGGAAGGAAATGATCTCACATCAGGAGGGGAGGTGGGGAGCTGAGATTATTGGGGGGAGTGTACAGTGGTGCAATGATCACCCCATTAGGGATGCAGGCATATCATTAAATCTCATTATTAATAGTTAATTTTAAAATGCCTAATTGTTTTGCCTGATTGTTTTATTCACTAATAGATGGAAATGTAAACAAATCACCTCTCATATTACCAAAACCCATTTTTTATTAAAACAAAAAACATGTACCAAGGCAAGGATACTTAATAATTATTGATGCATAGTTAATTAACTGTTTAAGTGCCATAAATGTGCTCATTTTAGCATCCAAAGGGTCACTTTCTAGCTACTAGTCAAATAAGTATGAACCTATTTACCTCATAAAATAAATATATATATATACACTGAAAAGGAAAAGTTCTTAAATTGACATTCCAGTACACAAAAAAAAAAAAAAATCACTGTATAGTATTTATATCCTAAATGAAAAGATCACAATCTCCATGGAAACTAGTGGAATGTTCCTGCTGATTGCAAGACGTTTAGAACTTTGCCCTAAATTTGATCGTGGGTATATGGATCAATATTTAAAATTTTTCTGAGTGTCTTTTTCTAAAATATTTGGCAAAACAAGTAGTTCCGTCAATTAAAATATTAAAGTGTGTAAACGATACAACGAACAGGCTTAAACGAGTGTATTTATTTAAGTGCTAAATTAATCATTTTATTCATGGCTTAAAAAATTGAAGACGACATCGCTATGTTTTTCACAAAATGTATAATTAAAAAAAACAAAAACAATGGCAAGGATCTATTTATCATACAGGCTCTGATAGAAGTTGGTGCACAGAGAATTCTGCATTCACCCATTCATGACTCAAACATTTGATAGTACCAGTCTTCTTGGGTTGGAATGCGATTGTGTGCCCAATATTACATTTCATTCATGAACTGCCAAACGTATCACTATCTGTGTTATTGGGAGTGCCCCTGTTCTGCATAGTTGGCACAGCAGCTGTGAAAATGCCTGGTAACACGTTATACAGTGTGGTGTTGGCCATATTCCATCGCTATTTATGGCAGCGGATAGTAGAAGCCTGCAATAACGGAATACATTTTTTAATCTTATTTTTATTTATATAGTTTAGGAAAATTCAGCCATGCTGGAAACACTGAGGTTTTTTTACATGTGTTCCCTATTAAGGGTTAATAAGTATATAGGGGTGTATATAGAAAAATACCCCTCTTTGTCTCAGCTCAAGGAAGTAAGGTGAACAGTCAGTGTAGGAACCCACCTGAGGGGGTCTGCCTTGACGTTGGCAGGCGGGCATTCCCTCCAGTGGCCATTGGAGTAACTAAATGACCTCCATTTGTTTAAAGAACCACTATAGTGCCAGGAAAGCATACTCGTTTTCCTGGCACTATAGTGCCCTGAGGGTGCCCCCACCCTCAGGGACCCCCTCCCGCCCGGCTCTGGAAGGGGTAAAAACTTACCTTTTTCCAGCGCTGGGCGGAGAGCTCTCCTCCTCCTCCTTCTCCCTCCCCCGGTGAATGCGCCGGCGGCGAGCTGCGCGCATTCAACTGGTCACATAGGAAAGCATTCATAATGCTTTCCTATGGACGTGGCGTTCTCACTGTGAAAATCACAGTGAGAAGCACTCAAGCGCCTCTAGTGGCTGTCAATGAGACAGCCACTAGAGGAAATAGGGGAAGGCTTAACCCATTCATAAACATAGCAGTTTCTCTGAAACTGCTATGTTTATGAAAAAATGGGTTAACCCTAGCTGGACCAGGCACCCAGACTACTTCATTAAGCTGAAGTGGTCTGGGTGCCTAGAGTATACATAGGGATTAAGGAGAGAGCGCAGGTAACTTTTTCTTTGGTTTTTACTGTATGTATTAGGGCTGATGTGTACTGTGGTCGTTGCTGCTGCCCAGGAGTGATGGGAGTGAGCGCAGGACTTGTTTTTTTTGTATTTGTAAATACTGAAGTTTATTTGCTAAACTGAGAATTACAAAATGTTGACAAAGTAACCAGATTAGAAAAGGATCTTCAGTTCAGCTTGATTATTTTATTCTAAAATTTGATAATCACTTGTCACTTCTTAACAATATCTGGTTTAGTGAATATACCCCAGTGAGTGAAAGGAGCGCTTGATGAAACATTAACACCCCAGCTGGCTGTACTGATAATGCTGCTCCTGCTGCAGACCCCGGGTTAATATTAAACCATTTAGCAAGGATTTGATATAAACAGGGGGCTTCCCTGCGCCAAGAGGCTCTCCAAATATAAGCCTATTTCAAACATATAGGAACTGCATAGGCAGTGCCAAGACGACTGCACACCGTTTGGATCCAAAAATGCTGAACCCCTTCGTACGATCCAATGTTTTATTGAGATTTGGCCTTAAATCAAAGTATCATGCTGCAAAAAAGATTCACCCTCACCCGTTTCATCTCATCTCATAAGAGACTTAAAATCACAAAGCATACAGTACACACCAGTTTTATTATTTAGATGTAAAATGTGCTATGCCATGTAATTCGTCCCCAATTCCACTGTAGTGGTTTTGCTGCCAAGGGTCCCCTAAGCCATATCTAGTTTCACATAAACTGAAGGTGTCACAGGACTTCCCCCATAATGGCCTCATTCTTATATGGTATGATATTAAATAGAGGGACTGCACCAGGGACCCTAGGCCACATATCCTCTACAGCAAACTGCAGTGGTTACATTGATTAAACTATTACAGTGTGCTTTTAAAGGTATAGAAAGGAAGCTGAATGAGATCTACACAGTATGACGGGTTCTGTCTGGTTTTATTATTTTTTTGTTTGTTTTTTATTTATTTTTTGTGTTTGGGCAATTTAGGTTTTGTCTTTACTATGCATTATTTATTTATCATGCACATTCTGTAAAGAGCCCTGTTGACTATAAGGCCTTCATATAGCTGTGGTATTGAGCACGTTGATGTGTCCTGCCAATTTTGAATGACTCATAGCTGGGACCTGACCAATAAAAGAGTAGTTGTTTGGGATGGAGTTTAACACTTAGCTCTGAAGTTGATCGCTGCTATTACAATCGATTTTGCAACTTTTTATAGCCCTCATCCGGATGGTGCTGCCACCCTGGATGATATGGGTAAGAAGACCAAGTCTGTTGTCCAAGACCAGAAAATTACCTAATTTGAAAATGCAGTTCAAGCATTACAGCAACAACAAAATAAATTTGAGTTACAATTGCAATCCTAGAAGACATGAGGCACCACAATCATTTAAAGATTAGGGAAATATCAGAAGGCATACCAGCAGAAGAGCTTCCACATTTCCTGAGGCATTTGCTTGTGGCCTTACTGTCACCTAAACAGGCCAAATCCATCATGTTTGATGGTTACTTCCATCTCCCCAAGCCACTGAAGGCCCAAGATGCAGTACTGAGAGTCTTGGTGGTGCAAGTTCAAACCAGTAGACAAAATGTAGCAGTCCAGGCCGCCCTCAAGGAGACTTCTCCTTGTGCTTTTGAGAATATGGGGCCAACCTTTTATGCGAACCTCTCCTATTAAACACTGGTGTGGAGAAGTTCTCTCCAACCCATGATCTGCTATAGAAGGTGCCTATTCTGCACTTTTCTAGTACTGCGTGGGAACTGTTCATATCTAATTCAAGATTTACAAGGAGTGGTTGAACTCCTGGAGACCCTTGGCTTCCCATGGGACTCTTTGTGGCAGACTGGGCTGCGACAGGCAACCAAATCGGTTCACAGACGGGATCCAGTATATCACTCCATTTATTCCTCAACTGCCTCTTCAGACGCATTTGCTGCAGCTACTACCTGAAGTTACACATAGCCTAATTAGCCAAGAATGGTTGATGTGTCAATATTGTAGACTAATTGCTTGTTTTTTTCCCCCGTAAGTTTAATATTTTAGTTTTTAGTGAAATATGCTGATGCAGAGTGTCCAACACTTCAAATCCACTTTACATGGATACTAAGGCTTTAATTGACTTTGAGGTGTCATTTTCTTATGGCTCTCTGCCTCTTAGCTACAGCTTAAAATTCTAATTTCCCTTTTTTGGTCCATAACAAGCAGGATGCCTGTGGTTAAGGTTCTCTTTCTGGATCATCACATATATAACTTTAATATCCCCAGTATGACACGTTAGTTATTTCTTTAACTTATATGTCAAACTTTAGTGTGCCAACTCTTATTTTAACGGCCAACGACTGGCACGTCAATATTAATAATTGCATAGCTCTATGACACATACAAAAATCCTCAGTTCGGTGGAATTGTCACTTCTGTACATGATGTCTTCTTATTTTTTTTTATTTTTTGTACCTATTGTATAACTCAGATGTCAGTATTTATTCTTCAAACACTTCCCACACCAGTGAGTTAGGTATAACAAAAGAATATTTTAAAACAAAGGTAGTTTCTGATATTGAAAAGAAGTCTGCCATGCCAAAATGTCTAGTGTACAAAAAAAAAAAAAGATATTTATTAACATTGCAAAGGGTGCAAAGGGTGAACTGGCAGATGATCTTAGAGCAGACAGTTAAAATAAGTAGAATGAAATATGGTTAGATGTGCTGAAGTTTACGTTAACTTACCTTACTATACCTTTTCATACAAAACCTTGGCTGACACCTCTGTTGTGTTCCAGTTGCACCCATTGTGGCTTTGCCGGGAGTCCTCTTTCACCCTCGCCCCTATATGATACTGATTTCCTACTGACAGCATGTGTAACTCCAACCAGGGGCATACCTAGAGCATTTGGCACCCGAACGGATCCTGTGTTTGGCAGTATCCCCCTCCAAAAAAATTAACAAAACAAAAAAAAAAACACACACACACTAACAGACACACACAGTCAGACACACACACACTCACTAACACACACTAATAGACACACACAGTCAGACACACACACTAACAGACACACACTCACTAACATTAACACACTCACTTTTTTTTTTTTCATTTAGCCCCCCCAGCCTCCTTACCTGGGGGTCCAGTGGCTGCTTGCCTGCTGGGCTGCTGGTCGGGCAGGCGGTGCTGGCGAGGGAGCACTTTTCCCTGAGCTCTCTGCTCAGCTTCCTCGCGCGCCGCGCACAGAGTGATGCTGGGAGCCGGAATATGACGTCATATTCCGGCTCCCAGCATCACTCTGCGGGCGGCGCACGAGGGAGCTGAGCAGAGAGCTCAGGGGAAAGTGCTCCCTCGCCAGCGCTGCCCGCCTGCCTGGACTGTTAGCTGCAAGGCTAACAAGGCATTTGCCATGGGCATTTGGGGGCGGCTTTTTTTGCCGCCCCCTGGAAAATGCCGCCCAAGGCAAATGCCTTGTTTGCCTCGTGGCTAAAACGTCCCTGGTGTTAAGCCCTGCCCCCGCTACCGGTTTAGCTTCGCCATGACTTTTATTAGCTCCGCTCCCACTTTCCTTCCATGCAGCCAGTTCAGTTGGTAATTGATGGTCTCTGCACTTGAGAGCTGTGCTGCACCCCAAATGCCATGGGGCACTGTGCGACCGCACAGCTCACACATCCCCCTCCAGACCAGGGTCATGGTACCCACCCTACCTGGTGGCACCTGGGCAGACCGCCCCCCCGCCCCTTTCATCCTTAGTAGGCCACTGACCCCAACTACTGCTGTTCTGTTCATCTTTCTACTATTTGTACTGTGTGTCATTTCTTGTTGTTAAACGGTCACACTAAGTGCACTGTAGTGGTTATTGTGCCAGCAGTCTCCTCGCTGTCTCATGGCAAGCTGTCAGACTGCTTATATATGGTTTGACATTTACCTGGCTCTCCCGTGCCCTCTGGCTTTTCCATAAATCAGTAAATATAATGTTTAAAATTAATTTTAAATAGTTTTCTATTCAGTGAAAAGGAAATCTTATTCTTGAAGCAAATACTTTATTATGTCATGCTATACAACAGGTTGTGCAAGGCAACATATTTTCCAAACATTACAAAATATATAACCACCAACATTAAATAAAATATCACAGACAATATACTGACAACATAATTCTAGCACAGGGATATTTTACGCACAATTTACTTGAACGGAGAGAACTATAATTAGAAATGTCTAATATTTATTATGATTTATTAATTGGACCCAGAAACATATATCATACAGCATTAACGTATTCTACAGCACGTTATGGTGATAATTCAAAGCTTCGGGGAATAGGGACAATATTTAAATGTAAGAAAACTAAACACAAACAGGCCCACTTAAAGAGTAACCGTCTGTTCTATGGAAATAAGTAAATCTTTCTTATTTTCATGTAATACACTTTTTTCTTTTAAAATTTACATTTACGGGGATATTCACTACTGAATTTCAAATTTAAGGTCAAAATAACCAAACCGGAAAAATTCTCAGTTATTTTAGCCTTAAATTTAAGATTCACTTTGAATTCTCACTTTTATTGAATAACCCTATTTATATCCTAATTATAAGGGAGGAGTAAATAATATTAAAAGCAAGAAAGCTATTTTTTTTTTTTTTTGCTATCACATGATATAACGATCTATACTACATACTCAACACTAAAAAAAAAAAAAACATATAGTCTGCTAGTGGAAACTGCCTATCTAGCAATGTAAATATAATCAAGAACAAAATACACTATTTTAAATTTTTCAAGGTATGTTTTGTAATATTGTTTATGAAATACTCGTTTGGACTGTGTTGGAATTTCACTAAAATATCAACCCATTCAAGAGATATACTGACACAAAATAGGGACCAATTTCTCTCTGTATATTTCCTACCCCTGACACTTCTGCACAGAGCTACAGTGTTAATCCCGACAGTCGTCACCAGTGATGGCTGCAGGGAATTGTATGTGTGTCTGGAAAAACCGACAGTCTTGTGGGACCCTCCGTAGACCTCTGGGCTCTACTCTCACGCATGCGCGTAAGTACAGCAGTTGTGACGTTGGCTCCTGAAACTGAGTCTGGAAACGACCTGCCTAGTTTAAATAGGGATTCTTTATAATTGAACAGACATTATAATTGAACATCTTTAAGTAAACCACCTTTAATTTTATTTTGCAAAACCCACTAAAGTTTCATGTGACGACATAGGCTACCATGAAGGTCCACGGAAGATTGTTACTTAAAAAGAGTTTTTTTAAAAATATATTAAAGTGAAAGCAAACTGCAATGCTTTTTTTTTTTTTAAATCTGCACGTAAACTCTAAGGTTTGTACTCACTAAACTGTAAATTGTAGGGAATTCAAAATTAAATTGCAAAATATAGACAAAAAATTGCAAAGGTGCTCCAGTCCCTCCAATTATTTTTTACTTGTAGTAGCTTTAGGGTTGATTATTGCTAATGCTTAAGAACCCTTACAATCCCCCTAAAAACAAAGTTTACTCTGTTTGCCCCATACCTTAAAAATAACGTAAACTCCTCCATAAACTTAACCTTCTAGAAACTGTGGTGTGATGCCATTGCGTTCTTATTCTTGTGAATGTAGTATAATTTCTGTGCCTCTATAGCGATACCAGCCTACCTATAGACTGTAAGCTCGTTTGAGCAGGGCTCTCTTCAACCTATTGTTCTGTAAGTTTTTGTAATTGTCTCATTTATTGTTAAATCTCCCCCTTTGATAATATTGTAAAGTGCTACGGGATATGCTGGCGCTATATAAATACCAGTAATAATAATAATAACTTTGATTAAGATGGTTTATTTGCCCAGTGTTTAGATAACAAGTAAGTCTTTGTAGGTCTGTCTCTACACTGGTGGAAAAAAAGGGTTCAAGAATAATAAGAAATGTTAGATGGCATTATCAATCTTCTCATTAGCTTGGAATTTCCAATATTTTGGGGGCGTTTCAAGGTCAAGGGAGACCAACACATCACTTGCTTTCTTTTTCAATATAACTCGCACATACCAGAGCCAGTTCAAATATGGCATCTGTAGCCCAAAAAATATTTGGATTATTAAAAGTTGGCCTCGGGGGTTTGGCAGTTGTGTTTGGCGTACGATGGGGAATCAAATTTGATAGGATTAAGCAACTACAAACCTAAACTAATGATATGCAGATTTTTTTTAATTGTTTAATTCAGTATACTTTGTGTTCTAAATATTGTTTTAATTTTACTGTAGACCAATCTGACTCTGATTGTACGATTGCGTTAACAATCTCAAATTACTGATTTAACTAGTTTAGCCCCTCTGTCGATACTATCAAACTGAACACTTTCTTCAGATGGGTTGTAGGCATTCATATCATGACCTGACTCAACCTTGCCATTGTTATTATCTAAGCCTCTTGGCACCCGATGCCTTTTCAACAATTCTGCTGCCAAGTACAAGTCATTTAGATTGTCTTTGTCCCCCCTGTTGGAAGGAGTTTGCGATCTTGTTGAAAGAAAATCATATAAGCTCTTTTCCAAGTTTACTCTTCTTGAAATGTCGTTGTTATCATCTTCTGGTGTTCGTTTTCTTGATTCCATTTGACTTGTTCCATAGATCACCTTTCCTTCCAAGTCATCTCTCTTTCCAAGAGGTCGCTTCTTTTTAATTGAATACTTTGACATCTCATCAAATATTGGCCATCGGTCTTGTTCACCGGACCAATAATTTTCATCTTAAAATAAAAAGAAAGATCAAAATAAAAAACAAATACATGATTTGCAGCAAGGAAATAGCCAAACAAACAAGAAAAAAAAACTTCTAGGACTAGGACCCTGCATGGTCCTATAAGTAAGGGGGCAGACCAGCCCATTATGGGCATCGCCAGTGATGAGAGTCACGTCACTAGCGAAAATGCCTCTCAGAACCTATCCCCCCCCCTTCCCAATTACAAACCTCTCAATGTTGGGAGATAAGAATGTATAAAAAAAGTTAGCAAGACATATTTATTGATAAAAACATGTGTTGCCTAAAAATAAGCATACAATTAAGATGAATAAATAAAATCACAAGTGATGCAATAAAAAGTGCATGTATCCAAATTGTTGCATTATAAACCCCCATAATTGGTTAAGATTGATAAAAAAAATTACCTCTGGACAGAGCTGAGTCTAAGAATATGAGGTGTCAGCTAACCAAGAAACTGTCCCCGATGGATATCCCCTGTTTACACCAAGAGTTGTTGAGCAATAGCAGGCAGTCATTCAAGGCAGGCCATGTGCAGTGGCTACATGGGAGAATGGCATTCCCCCGAGTGGATGTAAAGGGGGGAACATGACTGCTGCCATGTGGCGTAGTCATGGCCCGTAGTTACAATGTAGAGAAATTTACCTGGTCCGGTCACACTGGAAATGTTTGACAGTTGATTTGAGAACCTGCTGAGGGAGGTTAGCAGAGTTTCCCACATGCCCTCTACTTGTTTAAAAAGTGTTATTGAATTTGTAGTGTTTTGTTTGTTTGTTTTTTGGGGGGTTTTTTGTCTCAGCTTTAGGTTTTAGACTTTGCCAGCTTTGCCACTTTTGATGAAGCATTGCCTAGAATGGGCTTGGGGAGTCACAACCTGCCTTTGATTGAAGAAAGGATGCAGACTGAAAATAACTTTTTGTAACGTTAAGGTTCTCTGCCTGCTGGTTCTCCGGCCGGCTGCCAGCAGTTGGTATTACATTATACTGGCTTAAGTTTTAAATACATTTAAATAAAAGCTTTGGTCATTGCCCTATCCACCTATGGAAATTTGGGTTTAATTGTTTTTTTAAAGAGAGGATGTGGTACATGGAGGTGAAGTGGTCAACGGTCATGTAATATAGCTAGGGATGTGCATGGGCAAAAGATTTGGTTTGGTTCGTAAATTTGGATAAGTAAAAAAATTTGTCTTCTTAGGCAATTTGGGCCAATGGCATTTGGTTCAGTTCGGCACTTTCGAACTACCGAACTTCGGCAATTCGGAACTTCGGTAATTTGGAACTTCGGCACTTCGGAACTTCGTAAACATCCGAATGTCCGAATTGCATGAAATTAATTTCACATGTCTAGTAAGTGGTTGTGGTGGCAGTCCGGGCACTTGGGCACTAAAGATGTGTAAGTGGTTGTGGTGGCAATCCTGGCACTGGGAGCCCTACAGATGTGTAAGTGGTTGTGGTGGCAGACGTGGCACTGGGAGCCCCCTGCCCATGATGGGTGCTAAGCACACCTATGGTAACATTGCATATTGGACTTTAAACTTTGGGCATGTATATATGTATTTATTTGGGATTTAGCTTTACATCTGTAAAGGGATAAAAGTAAGCCATACATACCATACAAAACCATACAGCACCCTCAGGTAAAAATACTGCTTTGCTGTACGGTTTTATTATATTTTACTGTGGAGTGTACGCGTAGGACATTTTATTTATTTGATTTACATTGTTTGTGTTTTGTTATTTTGTATAAGATAAATCATTTTGGAGAAAAAGATTTTACATTTTACACCGATTTTTCTGAACCATATCATTGGTGGAAGGAGGTCAAGAAGGTGATAGACCCCCAGCCTTGACCAGGGGAGGCCCCCCAACACGACAGACTCTTATATTTCCTTTGAGTGCATTTCTGGAGCCCAGAGCTAACTGTGATTTTACTGTACTTTACTATATGGTTTGTTTGTATCCCTTTACGGATGTATAGCTGAATCCCAAATATTGTGTGTATCTAGTTGTTCAACAAGGGGTAGTAAATTGGAAACAAACACCTGGGAAGTTGCATCATTTACATAAGTTAAGTACCATTGTGTGCTGGTGTGTTTATGGTAATAATAAAACATATTTCATTTGTTTTCTTTTGCATATGTTTTTATTACCTGCATATTGTGGATCTTCATCTCTTTTCTCCCGAATTAATGGCTCTGCGCCCTGTGCCGGACTGTCTGTGCCTCTCTCACCAGTACCAGAACCAAGTCCACAAAGTAACAAGCCAAGCAGCAGAAGTGAGCATGATGGTGCAAAAGCCTTCATTTTTAATTCACTGCAGGTAGAAATAATTAATTGCATACAATACTCAATGGGACAGATTCATAAAAGTGTCTATAATTCCTGCAAATAATCAGATTTACCCCAGAATGCTAGGTATGTCTGATTGAATCAGATTTGTACTGGGGTAATAATAATTCATTGCCATAGTGATAAGCTAATAGAAAATGATGATGGGATATGGTCCTACAACGGCTGAAGGTCGCAATCTGACACCCCTGCCAAATTTTATATTTTGAAAAATATTTTAACATTTTACTATTTTGAATAAACCATTTTAATAGTATAGCCAAAAATATCAAATAATTTAAAAAAGCTTATCCAAAAATATTAAATCGAGACTGTTTCTCCCAAATATTTATGCCTAATTCATACACTGTACAATTCCTTAAAAAATCTGGAATGTCTTTTCAGCGATACAGAATTTCACAGAGTTAGAAAATGTGCTGAACTCGTGCAGGTAAACTTACAAACTAACCTTTGTTTTCTTGCCCTATCACTAATTAATTATCCACGCTTAATAGCATTTGTTCAAATGTCACATAAGTTATTCTCCCTAGCTTCCTAACTGTCATAGTACGACTCACACAGTGACTTGCATCTCATCTGACAATCTGTCAAGCCGTTATGAGCCCCATAATGTGACAGTGTATTAAAGTTCTTCAGATCTACCAAAAATCATACACACATATATATATATATATATATACGGGTGACTGCTCATTCATGTCAAATAACTTGACTTAATCAAACTACTTGTTTCTCATGCTTGTAGCTATAATTTTGGATCAAAGTCTTTCGGGCAGAAAGAGAAAATGATTGTCTTTTTAATCTCAGATGAAAAAACACTGCACCAAATGTTTGACCCCGCTAGGGTCAGTTTTATTACTGCATTTAGTGGCATACGAAGGGGGGGGGGGGACTGCCTTTGGTGCCCCTCATTAGGGGGTGCCTGGTAGGTCTCCAAGTGACACAGGAGGGGAGGGAGGCAAAAGAGGGGCACAGTAAGTGAGGGGACTAAAGAGGGCACAACTGATGAGGGGACAAAAGAATGGCACAGGAGGGGAAGAGGATAAAAGAAATGCACAGGAGAGGAGTGGGGCAAGAGGGGGACAAAAGAAGGGCACATGAAGGAGGGGGCAAAGAACGAAACAGTAGAAGGGGGCACAAAAAGACACGCAAAGGGGCTGTGGGGAAAAATATATGCAGAAGAACTAGTATGGGAACAAAGAGACACACAGAGGGGCTAGGGGCACAAAAAGACACACAAAGATGCTGAAGGGGGGACAAAGACACACACACAGAGGGGCTGCCAGGCAAAAAGAGAAACAGGGGTGTCTCTGAGAGGCGGCAAAAAGACACACAGAGAGGCATAAAAAGAAACACTGAGGGACACAAAAAGACACACAAAGGGGCTGGTGGGCACAGCGAGGTGCTTCTCGAGTCAGTAAGGAGGCTCTAAACTATCCTCAATGTATTTTTTATGAGGAGATGCTTGCCTCTGGGAATGGCTGGTGTATCACTGCCCGTGGTATCAGCGTAATTACTGTAGCTCCCCTGAGCTAAACAACCAGTAACAGGGCCACTTCCTGGACGACAGCCAGGGTGGTGTAACAAGGTTAATTTGTAAAAATTCCAATTTCTATTGAAACCTGCACTTTTTGTAAAATTATACAAATAAAACACACTCTTCATACATAAAGCACTTCGGCAAGATAAGGTGTGTTTTTAGATGTTTTTTAGATCTGCTGTTTAAAACCCTGTAAGACACTGACTGAATATGATAAATACTAAAAGGTTTGTTCACTCTACCTGAAGCAGGTGAGAAGTAACCAGAGATTTTATAACCTTAGGCCAAAATAGTGAATAGTGAAAATATATGGTTGAGTTGTAGAATGTTGCCGTTTAGCTATTAGTATGAGATTCACTGTTGAATCCTGGACAATTCCTGGTTCAGTGAATAACGCTGTAAGCCAGTAAAAAGTGTTCCATATCAGTATGTGATCACAGCCGTTTTAATTCTGTCACTATTTCCCTGACACTGTAAGTGATGATACAGGATATCAATATTTACAAGCAGAGCGTCTCAGCTGTGGAGCTGTGAAAAACAGGTGGATATTAATACACAGTGACATAAGTAAGGTTTATAATGAGTTTAACAGAGGGAAATTATGGTATAGCGGTAAAATAACACTCCATGCACCATAACCACTGTGGCTCAATGTAGTACTTATGGTGCCTGGAGAGCCTTGGGACCCCTCCACTGTACGCAGGATACCATCTCTATATAGTTGTATAGTCTTCTTACCTGCTATCCACTGGGGTCTGCTACACTCCTCTACAAATTACTTATCAGAGAGAGATTTGTTGCTCTCTGTCGGAGCTAAGCCCTGCAATGCACTATCTCAGTGAAGTGTTCTGGGGGCAGTGGTCCTGTCATTTTAACCCTGAAATGTAAAACATTGTCGTTTTGTAGAAACTGTGATGTTTCCATTGCTGGGTTAAACACTCCACTAGTGGCTGTCATATTGACAGCCACTAGAGGTGCATTCTCTACAAAAACTAAACTCGATCATGCAACTTTAAAGCTCATAAGAAAGCATTTCATTCAATGAGAAGCATTTGGAGTTGTTTTTGGCACTCACTGTGCATGCTCATCAGTTCTCAATGCTATCAGGAGCATTGGATTGGACAATCTGCAAAAGAGATAGATGATGTCATGGGAGGCGGAGCTGCATAGATGGAGTCTCGGACAAAAAAATTATAATATTTTTTTCCACAAGAAAAAACAGGGACGGGGAATTAAAATTGATCTGCAATCAGGACGCTAGTGAGTAGTAATACAATTTGTATTTCTAACTCTATATTCTTCATTTCATTTAAATTGGACGGATTTAATTTCACTGCACTCTGTCTACCGACCAAATTAAAGTCACATTGAGTCCAAGAGTCCAATGAGTCAGACCAAGTGACCCTAGCATGAAAAAAATAAAAGACAGAACTAAGCAAGATAAAGGTTGAATATCATCATGGTGTTACGGAGTTTAGAGTTACTGGTAAAATGTCCTTTATCAAAAGAATTGGATTAAAAAAATAAGGGAACTTGGTTGCCATAAAGTTGCTATTTGGCAGTTTGTAAATAGCTAAATTACTAAAAATTACCAAATAGTTGTAGCTACAGTTTGCTGTTTGCCAACAACTGAATAGTATAAAATATCAAATGTTTGGGTGAAATAGCTGATTTTGGACAATGTTTGGCTACTGTTGATCTACCTACTGTTAGCTACGTTGAACTCAAAGTGCCACTAAATAACCTGATGCCAGATGCATGACTTTTTTTTTAAAAGAACTCTTCTTTTGTTTCCACTTGAAAATCTTTTTTTATAGAAACAAGTACATGCAAAAAATGAGCCACTTATGAAATCTAGATTATTCCACCAAAATTTGAAGTTTGTTATTTCGAAGGGCACATTGTGGTTTACAAATCTATAATTTACAGAGATCGTATTGTGACTATATGGATCTAAACTTTACAAAGTGCTTCAATACGTTCTGTACATTGGATGTATTGCTCCATGACTTGTGATGCTGCCCAATGATCCATTACCGAACCACGGTGTGTGTCAGTATAGGACGTTTTTAAAGTCTATGCCTGTCTGTGTGGTTTAGTGAGTGCGTGTTTGTCAAACTGTCAATCTATGTATGTGTCCATGTATCAGTTTTTATATGTCTGTATGTGTCAGTCTGGGGTAAGATCTATATCAGTTTGTGCGCCTTTTGTCAGTCTTCTAGAGCAGGTCTATTTTTATATGTCAGTCTGTGCGTTTGTGTGTGTCAGTTTATGTCAGCCATGTGGGTCGGTTTGGGTTGACCCCAGTTAGCCTGGTTGTACGTGAATCGCGATAGTCAGTCTGTTTGCGTGTGCATACGTATTTAGAAGTGCCGGGATTGGGAAGGAACGGATAATGTCCTATAGATCTGCTGCTGCCAAACAAAGAAACTTATTAAAAGGAATAAAAAATATCCAACAGGTAATAAAATTAACTACAATTGGTGAATAGTTTGATATGGGGACATAAGGTCATCTTTTGGGTATTGAGACTCTATACGTTAGCTCCAGAACCCTATGAGTAATTGTTTCTGTAACACACTGTTCGTTGCTATGATATGTTAATCAGATCCTTCACAGAAAATTTACGACAGAGAATTAGACAGAGTAACTGATCGTCAGAAGGACAGGCTGACCAACAGCCTGCCTTCAGGGCCGTCTTTAATAACGAATGGACCCTGGGCAAGTGTTTGCTTGGGCCCCCTGTGCCCTGCCGCTCTCGCCCCTCACTCCCTGGTATGCAATCACGGCATCCATCCCAACGCAGTGGCGGTACTAAAGTAGAATGAATTTTATTGGGACCCCCAATTGCAAGGTTGGACTAAAGGTAGAACCCCATCTGTCGTGCAACTCCAACAATGCTTTGACAGCTGGGACTCTACCAATTTCCCATGCTTGCAGGGTTGTATTTAGCACTGAGCCATGTTAGTATGTTTGAATGTAAGCATGTGTTTGTATGGAGTATGTTTGTGTGAATGTGTTTGTATGTGGTACTGGAGTTTGAATGCAAGTGTGCATTTATGTGTAGTGTTTGTTTTTGAATGTAGGAGTGTGCTTGTATGTAGTGTTGACGTTTCAATGCAGGAGTGTGTTTTATATGTAGTGTTGAAGTTTGAATGGAGGGGTGTATTTGTATTTAAAGTTGCGGCTCAGATGCACAGGTACACACTCTGACGCACAAGCAGATACACAGATACATACACTGACTACATACAGATAAACAGGCACATACACTGACAGACACACTGACACAGGTACATATATTGACACACACACAGACACATACACTGGTAGACGTACTGACAGACATACTGACACAGGCACATATACAGACATACTGACACACAGACACATACACTAACACACACATACACTAACACACAGATACACTAACACACAAACACACACACTAACACACATACACTAACACACACTAACACACACACACACTAACACACATACACACACACTAACACACATACACAAACACATACATTAACACACATACACTAACACACAAACACACACACTAACACACATAAACACACACATACATACACTAACACACACATACACTAACACACAAACACATACACTAACACACACAAAAACACACACTAACACACATACACTAACACACACAAACACACACATACACTAACACACACATACACTAACACACAAACACTAACACACACATACACACACACAAACAAACACACACACAAACACATACACTAACACACAAACACACACACACTAACACACAAACACACACACTAACACACACACACACTAACACACACACTAACACACAAACACATACACTAACACACACATACACATTTTTTTTTTAAATGTAATCCCCCCAGCCTCCTTACCTTTTGGAGTGCTGGGGGGATTCCCTGGGGTCCAGTGGTGCTGTTGGCTTGGGGGGAAGGTCAGTCGGCAGGGAGGGGCACGCGAGGAGACTACTGCTTCTCCCTCGCTGGCCGCTGCGTAGGGATGCCGGCGCCGGAAGATGACGTCATCTTCCGGCTCCGGCATCAGTGCGGTGCGCGAGGGAGCCGAAGAGGAAGCAGTGAGTGCTCCCTCGCGCACCCGCCTTCCTGCCCGACCGGCCACCCGCCCGCCGGGGTCAGCGGGGCCCACGGGGCAGGTGCCTCGGGCCCCCCAAGAGAAACTGGGCCCGGGGCAGCTGCCCCGTTTGCCCCGCGTTAAAGACGGCCCTGCCTGCCTTAAAGACAAATAGATACACATTTTAGGGAATTCGACCAACTGGTATGTGAATTTTGGGTATTACCTTGGGGTTGGTAATATCTTCATCTAGAGCAGGGGTGCCCAATAGGTAGATCCCCAGATTTTGTAGCACTACAACTCACATTATGTTTTACATTCCTTTAGAATGCTGTAGAATGACAAAGTATCATGGAAGCTGTAGTTTTAAAACATGTGGGGATCTACCTATTGGGCACCCCTGATCTAGAGCATCTAAGTTTGCTAGTGGTCCTGTCTGATTTTGAGGTTTAGTAAGAAAGTCACTGAGACCAATAAAAACTCTCTCAGTTTGAGAGTTCAGAGCTGCATGATTAGAAGATCTTATTGTGTTTATTATATATCTATCAAATAATGTGAGTTATAGCACATTGTAATATGTGACTCATCTCATTGTATGGTCCAACGAAAGCTCACCGTATCACCCCAGATGTTTGTTAACGACATTCTTAGACTGCTTCGGTAGCTAGCCTTGTGATAAAGGTATTTTAACTCCACAAGTGCCAATTATGGTCTATGCCAGGAGTAGGCAACCCTTAGCACTCCAGATGTTATGGACTACATCTCTCCTGATGCTTTGCCTACATTATGGCTGTAAGAGCATCATTAAAGATTTAGCCCACAATGTCTGGAGTGTGGAAGGTTGCCTACCCCTGTTCTATGCCAACCTTTGCTTTTAAATATCTAAAATGGAATGTCCCACCTCCTTTGTTGCCATAAGTACAATCTGCATTATATATATATATATATATATATATATATATATATAAGGCCTTGGCCTGTAGTTGTGGGAGGGGCTTGAATTCCCTTAAAAGGGCGGCCAATCCTCTCCCACCTTACCGTGGACAGTCTGGCGAATCAATTCAGACTGGACTTCCGGTTCCCAGAGGGGTTACCTGCACTCAAGTTTCAGCGTTGCTGGGGGTTTTCGCTTTCAGGTCGGGTTGCACTTCCGGGTCGAAAATCAAGGGTCCTGATCGGCATCTCTTCACGGAGGTCCTGCTCCCGCTGTGAGTCCCCTCTGCCGGGCGCCTGTCCATTCCACGCGTTTTGTTACCCCTCAGTGAGTCTATACAGACAGGGGTGCCTCTCAGAAACGCTGTCTGCACCATCGGACACCTGTCGGGTCCACAAGGTCGGACCGCTAATAGTAAGTTTCATGATGGGTGCCTCTTAGCACGCCGTCAAGACCAGTAGTTCTGTCCCCTTCCTACTCACCGGGTTTCCCCCACACCACGTTTTCAATTCACGTACCCCTGCATACACGCCTCCTGCCCACCCGCAGACATGCTGGGTTGAGCATGTGTAGTCAGTTTGCACTTTTTAAACTTGCTGCGTGACGGTTTGCTTTTTACCGAACGGGTTCATTCGTCAGGTTTAACTGCTCACAGCAACGCTGCTCACATAAATCTTGCTATTTCGTGCCACGTTCGGCACTTTCTTTTCGGCTCTTTATGAGAAGTCTTTAAATATAGGGTAAGGGCTTTCATTTACATTCTCCTCATTGTGGCGGATTTTCAGCCATTTGGTTAAGAGATTTGCAGGTGGTGGCTCCTCCTTAACAGCTAGTAGCCCCTCAAAGGTTCTACGACTTACACGGTTTCACATATATCTCTGTCTAACGTAAATGTATGGATTAGTCTTATATGACGCGCGTAGGTTATATAGACATCATGGCTTTAGTATTTTGCTTTTTACTAATTTTTCAGAGCTTGTCTATAATAATGTGTATATTTACATAAGGTTAATGTTTATGTTTCTCTGGACAGCAACCTAGGCACAACACTGTTGTTCTATAATACACTTATGGCCGGGCTGTGTACCCTATGTTTCACATATATGTTATACTAACGTCTTCTAACATGTTCAAATCTAACAGTATAAATTTACATTTGTTTGTATAATTGTTTTGGTATCCTACTTTCACGGTCGCCTCCCGCCATAGGAGTCCTCGGTACGTCGGCTGGTTAATTAATTTATCTGTTAGCTGACATTTGTTATCATGTTCCCATCAAGCTTATTGCAGGATATTGAGCTTATGTTTTATGACATCATTAATCAATTACTTGGCCTTATTGGGTAGATGTTGTGTGTTGGGTTGTACTCCTTGTAAGTTATTTTGAATGGGCATTAACCTCTCGCTTTCTTTAGGTGCCTTGGTCTTGGGGGACGGTTTCTGTACGAGCACTGCAATTCCGTCACCTACCTCTGTCTTATTTTCATTGCTCATCTATGGGTTATGGTAGGTTTCCATTTACTGTTCGGGTCCACAATCTGGGCCACTCACAAAAGCTATACGCACAGATACTCCCCTTATCGTTTTACTAGGTTGCAGCACGTATCTACTACCTCCCTCGCACTCCTATTTCTGCTTATAATCTCGTCCTGACTCCAACTGTATCATGCACGTTTTCACAACCCCGTACTTCTATTTAGGGTAGTACTGGCTTTTTGAGATTTAGGTTGCCCAACTAGGTTCTCTTAATCCATACGTTAGTGGTCCCACGAGGCCAACACCCATCCTCATACTCGGAGGTATACGTCCCTCGGCCCAATTCATAGGTAGCCGCCTTGCTTTGTTGCATAGGGAGGGCCTCCCATGTCACTCCCATTCTATCTTATGCTTTAGTTGCCACCGAGAGGCCGACACCCCGCCAGAACGTTTCGGTGGCCTCAAAAATCCCCTCGGGCCAACTCATAGCTAGCGCCTCTCACGCCGCTTGGCAATTAGTAGGGACTCATCTGTCACGTTTCGTTAGCTTAATTCTTCGCCGCTTGGCTTCTAGCTAGCCTGCCAGTACCAGGCCCCTTTCGTCTCACTTATAATGATTGAGTTACATGTATGTTTTCTGTTGTGTATCAAGTCCGGAGGGACGGGTGGTTCTAGTTCAGGTAGGTTGTTGCACGTTTTGTTCTCTTTATTCCCGGGCTCATGCTAATTCCATGTGTACGCATTATGTTTTCCTATAACCTCGCCACACAGGCTTCAACGTCACGTTATTGGTTACACTTTTACAATACCATCCCTCACCTCGTTTGGTTAAATTTATCAGCAATAGGCTGGCTTAAGGGTTCAACATGGGTTTGGTACATTTTGACAACTGGTACACTAGACGGCAATTATTTGCAACCGCTTTCACAGGACGAGAGTTAATGTGTACAGTTATATGGGCGGAAGTAGTTTGAGGGTTGTGGGGGGTTTTGCTTCCCGCCTTTTCACATTGGGGAGAACCAACCCCATAGGGGGGACACGGGGAACGTTTCACTTAAACCCAGATCAATACTAGACTTCTTCACTGTTCCCAGTCTTCATTCCCTCATACCCTCCGACAAACTTTCCTTACAATATGCCACTATCATTTATGCCATTTGGGCCATCCTGGTGACTGGTACAGGCGCTTGGCCCAAAACTGACATTGTCAATGTTTTAACTAACTTCCCATTCACCCTTAGCTATGGCATCTGCTCTGCATTTATGTGGCAGGGGCTTTATTTTTCTCACGACTCACTTTTAGCTCAAGAGCGGCCCCAGAATCTGCGCTACTTGGCTGATAGTTTGTGTTGGTTATGGTTTAATATGTACTGATGTCCGTCCGTTGTTTCTACTTGTACAATTTTCCCCTTTGTTGAGAACAAGGCACGTGATTCATCCCACAGGGTAGATCCTTCATTTCCCGGTTACTACTCCTTATTCCCATGACTTTCCAGGGACGCATAACGTATCACGTTAGTCACTCATGCAACCTCTGATTTACTTATGTGGCGCTTTCCTAAAATACTGGAAAGGGCGTGCCATGTTAACCCCCCTCTCTGACATTTCACCCTCCGTTTGGACAGATGCCACGGCAAACTCTGGTTTTGCGGCCATCTGAGGGTTTAAATGGCGTGGCGCGTCTTGGCCCATAGACGTTAATTCCCAACCCGGCTTCTCCTCTACTTCGGCCTTGTTTGAATGATGTCCGATCATGACAGCTGCCGTAGCCTGGGGACCATTATCGTCCGGTCACTCGGTCAGATATTAGTCACATACACCTAGCCATTGTGCATATAGGCCAATCTTCGTCTCTGGTCATCAGGAGACGGTTGAGGAATTTCACATGGGTAGCCACTTGCAAATCTTATCACATGTATTCACTGTATTCACGTGCTGGGTTTCACGAACATCTCAGCTGACCACTTCCATGGGTTTCATTTTAGGCTTTCGAAAAGACACTGCCACCTCTTCCAGGCTAGCTAACCTGCCCCGTCTTTCCGAGACATGCTCATGAATTAAATGTTTGGTTTACCCTTGCACATCACATTTCTCACCTTACACTTTCAGTCAACACTAGGTACTTATACGATAGGGTGTTCATATATTTTCACTAAGGCTATAGTGGGGTTTCAAGTTCTTGACATGTTTGCTATGGAATCTTTTATTGGGGTTCACTTCTTTTTGCCACCTTTACTTAAATTATCATTTAACACCCCAACAATACAGGATTCCTCTCATCCTATCTGATAAAGACCTACTGAAAGGAATGCAAAATCCAAGACACACGTACCAACTCAAAGGCTACCCATCCACACGGCATATTTCATTCACTATCCGACTTAGTAGATTCAGCTCCTGTTGAGCACATGACCATACGACAATCAAACGGCCATACATTTAGCATGCCATGGGTTCCTACGTCCCAGGAATTTACCAATCGGAATATAACTACCACTGAATACCTGGGAACAGCTGATATCCAGACACCTTAAAACATTAGGTCCTATCTCTGCATCAGTCTATACCTATCCCTATAGCACATACGGTTACCATACTCCTATTACCTACTCTAGACAGTAGTGCCCAGTAAAGTTCGGGATACTTATTGCACCACTTACAAGATACAACCACTCCAAACATTATCAGAACTTCATGGCTCCATTCTTACATCATTGTAAATCATGCTTCATGTTCACTTACTGTGAACTAGGCTTGGCCTAATACAAACCTTTCATCAGGACACTCCTTCCGCATAGGGGCAGCATTCTCGGCTTCCTCCAACCACATTCCAGCTCATGTCATCGGGGCTATGGGACGCTGGAAGTTCTCCGCCTATACTCCTTACATTCCGTACCCAGTTATAAAAGGTAATACAAGCTTTTCGTGACTTATCCGAATAAACGATGGTTGTTATATGATTAATTTTGTATGGTATTCTTCTTTTTGCCCACTTTTATTACAGGCCTACTGCTCTGTCGGTTCCAGCACACCACAACCGACTGGTGTCATTTGAATATGTCTATTGGTTATAATATGCTATGTTACACTATTATCACGGCTAGATTGCCCCGACTACAAATGTAAGGCCTTGGCCTGTAGTTGTGGGAGGGGCTTGAATTCCCTTAAAAGGGCGGCCAATCCTCTCCCACTTTACTGTGGACAGTCTGGCGAATCACCCCTCCCACCGCTCCCTCTATTCATATCACCCTCTAAGGTGGTCCCACTTTTATTACAGGCCTACTGCTCTGTCGGTTCCGGCACACCACAACAGACTGGTGTCATTTGAATATGTCTATTGGTTATAATATGCTATGTTACACTATTATCATGGCTAGATTGCCCCGACTACAAATATATATATATATATATATATATATATATATTTATATAGTATGGTTAATGGACCAGATTTCAACCATTCAAGGGGCCATGTCTGGTTTAGATCCAGGGTGATTAACCCTCTTTCTCCCGCTGGTCTTCAGTATAATAATTTATATTTTGTCCATTTTGTTGATTTATTCGGTCACTATTATGAAAGCCTTCTTTTTTTTTTTTTTATCTGTAACCGGAGTATTTTATGGATTTTAAATTCCATATAGAAATCTATCGTTAGACCACCTTTAAAATGCTGTGCAATTTTGTGCACTTATTCTAAAGAAGGATATTATGTCATTATAAACAGCTTAGAGTAGGGCTACAAAATGAATGGAAGAATTTAGATATTAAAAAAGGTTAACAAATTTAAATCATTTTTGCTTAGAAAAATTACACCTTTAGAGGTGAGCATTATGCAAACATATATGAGGCCAATACAAACCATTATCTGGAAATCTATTCATAGACAGGCCTATATATAGGACATGAGTTCACCCATTTAGACTGGAAGAAAGGAGTTTTACTCTAATGCAAAAGGAAGGGTTGTTTACAGTAAGAACAATAAGCATGTGAAATTATCTGCCTGGACAGGTGGTTTTATCAAAATCTGTTTAAACAGCAACTGGATAAATACTTGTGAAAACCTAATATTCAGGGACTTTTATTTGTAATAGCTAATTGATCCAAGGAGATATCTGACTGCCATTCTGGGGTCAATAAAGAGTTTTTCCCTAGTTTGTTGCAAAATTGGAAACGATTCAAACTTGTTTTTTGCCTTCTTTTGCACCAACAACAAGAACAGATCTGAGACATGGAGGTATGTCTCTTTACTATATACATTGTCTTAATACCCCTAGCCATTCATGTTTTATCCCAAAGCTCACTGATGTTAATAACCTATTGTGGTAATAACATTAAGAAAAAACTATATATAAAATAAAGTATGCAATATAAATAGATATAGATTTTGTCTGGAACCCCTGATCTACTGGGTATTTATTTTTTACAATTTCTTTAAAATGGTTTGTTGTTTTCTTTGTGTTTTCTACATAGTATATGTACAGGATAATTATGGAAGTCTGTGTAACAGAATTGAAATTATTTACTTTTATACTTTTTATTCTGTATCCCACCTCCTTCACAAAAAATAATCAAATTAAAATGAGGGCATAAGATACATTTTCCATAAATGTCCTATTTTATTCATCTTAAGGCAGCAATATTTGCATTATTCTTGTCCCTGTGTAAACCTTTATTCTGTAAAATGTTCTCGTTCCGATACCGTGAAGATGAGCAATGTGAGTTAACAACCAGTCATTGTCACTATAGATTTTCCCTTTTTAAGATGTTATCAGTTGTGTCAGTAAGAGATTTACACTATCCATTTTAAATGACAGTTTGGGGCGAAGAGAAGAGGTTTATCACATTAGTTTCAGTCAAATGTAGAGCAAGTACAATCCTTCCTCCACTTAAGCAGCTTTTAAAAAGACAAGGGGGATTTTTATCATGCAAGAACTCGAGGGACATTAATTAGAATTAAGGAATGACTTCATCAGCACCGTTCGGTATTTTTAGAATTTCTATGTAGTTTTATCTTGGTTACTGCAATCAAAGGTTTGCTGAATCCTCTTCATTACTAACATGTACGTGATGTACCCCTTGTTTTCCTATGAGAGTAATTTATTTAATAGGCAGTGATATTTGATATGCCATGTATTTGATCTCGTGGCTTTAATGGTCCCTTTGAAACAAAAGCAATATACAGTAACACAGAATGAGATTTTGTGAACAGACTAACATGGCCCTGGAGTTAGACAGGGGCCCTGGTACCATACATTTATTTTTCCCAATTAACCATTCCTAAATAAAGAATGAAGGGGACTGGTAACCTGTCTAAGCCCCCACTGGTATCTTAATTCTTCTCTGCAGTGGTTCTTCTCATGCTCCCTACACTTTGTGCTTCTTGCCATTACTTCCACACCTGATGTCTCTTTCTTGGACCTGTCATTTTCTTCATACCTCCTACACCTGTGTCTTTCATGCCACCAATGCCACTTTGTCCCCCCCAAATGCTTTCCCTACTACTTTGTGACTCCCCATTTCCTATTCAACCGGCACCTAGCATAGTATTTCTAAAACATGTCACAAAACATCTCTAACAACTGCGACCCTGTCTTCCCAGCCACCAGGTCCCTTATTGCAGTAAGCAAAGTGTAATATCACTTTGTGTATTCAGGGTCTTGCGCAACCATAAAGCGGCACAAGTGGCCTCCTTAGCTTGCGCGGGCCTGGGGGGCGCAAGGTATGTGTTACTGGCAGGACAGTGCTCACCTCCTGCCATTCACCTAAACAGAGAAAAAGATGGAGTTCTGCACATCAAGTACGTTTGTGCACACCCAGGTGCTACTGCAGTTTATTTGAGGACACAATACAAACAGATGTTTCGGGCACAAGGCCTTTTTCAATGCTAATGTCCTGGGTGGAGTGGAAAGGACATGTAAAAGGGGGAGAAAAAGACAAGGTGCTGGGGGGAGAGAGACACACAGAGACACTGGAGAAGATGAAAAAGAGACACAGAAGGAACTGGGGTGAAAAGACACACAGAGAGGGGCTAGAAGGAGAAAGAGGATACACAGAGTGGCTGGGGGAAAGAGACAAGGTACTGGGGGGGAAGAGACACAGAGAGGGGCTAAGAAAGGAAGAAAGAGACACACAGAGGGACTGGAGAAGGGGGAAAAGAGAAACACAAAGAGGATGGGGGGGTAAACACACCAAGGGGCTGGATGAAAGGGAGAAAGTTATAAAGGGCCTGGTAAGAAACAGATTCACACAAAGGGGCTAGGGAGAAAAAGAGACTTAAAGGAGGGGGAAAGAGACAAGGTGCTGGGGAAAGGAAAAAAAAACACAGAAGGGCTGGGAAAGGAGAAAAAGAGAAACACAGAGGGGCTGGAGAAGAGGACAAAGAGACACACTAAGGGGCTTGGGGGAAAGACATATAGAGAGCCTGGGAGAAGGGAGAAAGTAACAAAGGGACTGATGGAGAAAGAGACACACAAAGGAGCTGAGGGGAGAAAGTGTCATGATTACTTACCATGCTCCTGGGTGACCACATGGACCCTTAATGCTCACTCCTCTCCTATGGCGCCCGGGAATTCTGACCACGGATACTTAAGTCATGCCCCACATTGATTTGCATCATTTATACCACCCCCTAATGTTTTGGGGGGGGGGGGTAGATTTAAAGCAGAAGATGCTCACTTATAAATAGAGCGACTTTTGCCTCATTCAATGCCCTATTGTGGTTCAAATATTTGGTCCCTCTAGTGCTTTATATTCCTTGTGTCTATTTCTGGTTTCTGACTAAGCTTGTGTATTTTGACTATCTTGTCCTTTGTTGTCCTTGACGTGGCTATTCATTTGCCTTCTCCCATTTTCCGTCTCCCTTGTAATTCTGGCTATCTCCCGACTATTCTATTTTTGTATCACGTTAAGCAAGGCCATTCTAACGTAATACGTTTTAATTTTAATGTGAAGTTACACTCTGCGTGTTGGGGTTAAGTTCACCATGACAGAAAGAGACACAGACAGAGTTGCTGGGGGGAGAGACACACACAAAGGTGCTCGGAGGAATCAAAGACACACAAAGGGGCTGGGGGGAGTAAGATACATACAAAGGGGGAAAATGGGGATAAGATACACTAAAGGGGTCAAGATATTAAAAAGATGGGATAAGAAATTCAAAAGGGGGGAAGAGACACATAGGAGAAGCTGCATTGAGGGAGGAGGGCAACATACATTTTCGTCTGTGTGTCCAAAAATCCTTGCACTGACTGTCCTGAAAAAAAAGGGCTGTAAAGTATAGGATTCTTGTTATTTATCTCAATGCCATTATCGGAATTAGGCTAATTATATTATGATGCAATGTTCACGGAATATAGTTCACCTGAGATTTAAGTAGCAGAGCAAAGGGATCCTAAAACCTGCATTGTTACTAGAAGATATCTCAATTTACTGCATGGACGTCAGCAGCTTAGGGGGAACACTGTGCTTAGAGCTGTTCACGAAACTGTGACGATAGGTTTTTGTGATAAGATCAGACCCCAGGGACCAGAATAAAAGGCTCTTGATTGGTAAAACGTATCCCTGGTTTGGGAAGGCAGTGTCTGAACTGCAACTTGAATGAGTGAGTGCAAAAGCTAAAGAAATTATTAAGTAAATATCTTTTTTATTTTTGTATATATTTTTATGCATTTATATTAACGAATTATGAATATAATACATTAACAAATGGGAGTTACAGCCTAACATGTGAGGTTTCAAACTTTGAATGGAAGGAACATTTGACAGACAATTCAAGCACTGCTTCTCGAAATTCAGGAAAATTTTAACCATCACATACAATGCAGACCTGATGCGTAGTTAAATGACTGTAAGTGAACAAGATCTGTGCAATCTGTAACTCTAACTGTCAGGCATCCTGGGATAAGGCAGCCTTATATAATAAAATTGCAGAATAGTAAGATATACAGGGCAGAATCATATTTACTGCACAGGAGAAACGCACTTCCTAATAAGAGAAAAAGACACAACAATGCATACTGTAACCTGCATGAAATACAAATATTAAACATTAATATGTAGTAGATATAAATGGAAAATAGTTACACTTACCCAAGATGCAATACTAAATCGATTTATGAATATAACTCCTTTTCTAATAGCTACCTTCATCCAAGTGCTTGATCATTTATTTTTTTTGCTGCAACCCAAAAGTGAAGGGGAGAATGAGCATCTGGTTCAGCCAATCAGCTGCCTTCATTGCAGTAATTGTAGCTGCATCCTTCCCCTGTCACGTCTCCATGGAGACAGCCTCAGCCTCCTCCAGACTTGGAAGACTGAAGTTTAAATGCTTGGTACCATTCCAAATTAAATACAAGATGACAATAGAAGGTTAACATGTAGGTATGTTACAGAGCTAGTTAGACAGACAGAAATAGAGATACACAGACAGATAGTAATAGGAACAGACAGAGAAACAGAGATAGAGATACACAGACAGATAGTAATAGGAACAGACAGAAAAACAGAGATAGAGATACACAGACAGTTAGTAATAGGAATAGACAGACAAACAGAGATACAGGTACAAAGACAGAGAGTAATAGGAATAGACAGACAAACAGAGACAGAGGTACAAAGACAGAGATTGAACAAAACAGAGCAAAGTCCAGAAAAAAATGCCTACAAGAAAAAATATAAAAAACAAATAGTGCAGAGCATCTGATATGAGTTTAGTAAGGGGTATACACTTAAAAAACACGTATGTAGAATACACTCACATGTCACATAGACTTACCAATCGTTTGTGTGGGTTTTCTGCTGTGCATACCCACCTTTACGCAAGTAAGCATAATTTTTATCTGTGTGCAAATAAAAGATGTGTTTTACTGTGCCATTGGGGTTTCCTGTGCCTGCTTGTGTCTCCTATACAGTGCATTCTTAGTAAGAAGATTTCAGTGTCATTTTGGATATATCTATATGTGGGATCTGTTCCCTCTCCAAGAAGCCTCAGTTACCCAGAGCCGGGGTTGATAAGGCTCTGCAACATGTGAGTGTATTCTACATATGTATTTTTAAGTTAAATGAAATCATATCAGATGGTCTGTTTTTTAGATTTTTTTTCTTGCATGCATTCTTTTCTGGAATTTTGCTCTACATTAAGTATCAGCGCAACACTGTTTTCTGGTTTTGATTGTATTCACTGTGTGGGTAATTGCTTCTGGAGGGGTTACACAAACATATATTGGAAATTGAGGACATTTATTTTAGCTCTGTCCACTTTTTGGTTATTGTAATTTATGTTTTTTTTTAAAAAGGAAATTGTTTATTGTGTAATTTAGAAAAATTCCAAATGCATCAGTAATGTCAAATCCACTTTTCCCAAGTGGCGCTTTATTTTAATTATATTAAGTTATTTTTATAAAGAAATAAACTAAGGATGATGTCTCACCGAGAGTGTGCACTCAACAAATGAAGAGCTTTTTTTTTTTTGGATAGAGCTTTTTCCAGAATATTTTTTTTCTTCTATTTTTATGATAATACAAAGGCAGTTTAGAAGTCTACGTCCTGTGACTGAAGATGCAGATTGTGAACCCATCTGCAATATTCAGCCTAGATGATGAGCTAACAGCATATCAAGTTAGAAGTTGGCACTCACTTGCATAGTACAGTATAAATAACATGGTGGTAGTCAGGTGTTTGAGCCGGCTTTGTGGCTTTGGTCCAGATGGACTGTGACCCAAAACTGATATACTCATCTCACACATTAACACTTGGTGTGCTCATATCAATCTCAAACAGACCCAGTAATCCAGCGTGGCACCGTGTGGTTCACACTCCCTGTTCTCTGATGTCCTCCAGGTATCATGTTGTAATGTGTTTAATACAGAGAGTTTGTATCACATTTTATTTTTCTGTCAATGTCCGTTTGTGAAAGTAAATAAAATCGGGGCTGAAATGTGCCATTTTTCCTAGAGAGAGCCATGAAGATATACAATTTTTGTCAAGTTTCATCCCACTGTATATCTTATATATACACTTTCACATTTGGCAGATCAGTGCAGGGCCGCCATCAGGAGATGACAACCATGACGGTTGTCATGGGCTCGGATGTGTAGCTGCACCAGGGCACGCATGCTGATAGGGCCTATCGGGTGGCCGTACAATAGCGCGACTGGACCCCTTTAAAAAAAAATGCAGCCGCAAGTACTGTTTGGAGGTAGTGAAGGGCCGCGCGGGAGGGAAGAGAGATAGTCTGAGAGGAGGGGAAAGGCAGTCGACTCCCATCAGCTCCAGCCACTCTCCTGCAAAGAAAAGGTAAGAAACAGGAGGGTGGCTTAAAAAATTAGCTGTGTATGTATGTCTATGTATGTATGTGTGTATGTATGTCAGTATGTATGTGTATGTATGCCAGTATCTATGTCATAGGCGTGCGCACGGGGTGTGCCGGGTGTGCCTGGGGACACCCTAATCCCCGTGGCCCGCGCTATGTGCCTCCCTCCGTGGGCCGGTGAAGGAGATGAAAGATCTCCCTCACCTACCCACAGGCAGTGAGGGAGGCAGGAGAGAACCCGGGGAGCTCTTGCCAGCAGCTCCCCTGGGTTCCTCTCATGAGGTCGGAGCGTTGCCGCGACAACGCTCAGAACTCGCCAGAGTGAACTCTAGCCTCGCAGACTGCGGGGCTAGAGTTCACTCACCACTGGACCACCAGGGATGGCAGCAACACGGTCCCGCCTCCCTACAAAAGGTAAGAAGGGAGGGGGGATATTAACTAAATGGCCTCCCCACCCCCACACAATACACACTAACAGCACCCTCACACTAACAGCACCCTTACACATACACACACTAACATCACACACACATACAGCACCCTTACACACACATACATCACTCTTACATACACATACATCACTCTTACATACACACACAGCGCCCTCACACACATACGGCGCCTTCACACACACAGCACCCTTACACACACAGCGCCCTAACACATACAGCGCCTGCAAACACACACAGCGCCTTCACACACACACAGCGCCTTCACACACACACACAGCGCCTGCACATACAGCGCCTTCACACACACACGGCCCCTACACGCACACACAGCGCCTTCACACACACACAGCGCCCACACACACACAGCACCTACACACACTCATAACACCTACACACAGCACCCTCACACACACACACAGCAGTATATATGTGTGTGTGTGTGTGTGTATGTGTATATATATATATATATATATATTATACGCGGCGTGTGTGTTTGTGCTTTAGGGTGCACACCCTTATGCAATAGGCTGTGCACGCCTATGATGTATGTATGTATGTATATATGTGTATGTATTTCAGTGTCCGTATGTATGTGTGTCAGTATGTATGTATGTATGTCAATATGTGTATGTATATGTATATATGTGTGTATTTATGTCAGTATGTCTGTCTGTCTCTGTGTATGTATGTATATGTATGTCAGTATGTATGTATGTGTGTGTCTGTATGTGTTTGTATGTATGTCAGTATGTGTGTGTGTATGTATGTCCTTATGCATGTGTGTGTGTGTGTGTGTGTCTGTATGTATGTTAGTGTGTGTCTGTATAGGTCTGTGTATCTGTTTCAGTATGTGTGTGTCAGTATGTATGTATGTATGTTTGTCTGTATGTGTGTATATTTGTGTGTGTGTGTGTGTATCTGTGTCCTTTTTGTATCAGTGCGTGTGTTTGTGTCTGTGTGTGTTTTCCTGTTGGCGGGATTTGGAGGCGGGCCCTGGGGTGGGCTTAGAGGCAGACCCCCGGGGGCCCAGACCTTGAGCAGTGTTAGGAGCCCCAATATTTCTAATGGCGGCCCTGCATCAGTGAATCGGAAAATAGAGTTATAGCTCTAGAAGCATCTGCAAAATTTCCATTGTTTATTGTGCGATTGTGTAGAGTAAAAATCGTGGCCCTCGAAATATAAAATTTTCATACAACCTGGCCCTCAACTAAAAGTGTTTCTTCTTTTAACCAAAATCATGGGTGGGATATAGATAAAAAGAATTGTGATACTAACGTGCCAGATTTTGTGATGAAAAATGTCTCTGCTTTATACTCTATATAATGGTCAGACCATCTCATAGTTTAGCTTGCACATTGTCAGTTTGCAATCCAGTTTTGGATTGGAAAAAAATAATTTGGGTTGATACCATTTGTGGAACGATTTGGTTATTACTAGAGATTGTCTAAAGTCTAAGCATTGATACTTTTTGGAAGCATGAAATGTGGATTTTAAAGATTGATGAGTTTGCTTGTAAGTATTGCTGTAACCAGTGTTGGAACTATCGCCATTCAGTAAAGGGCCACCAGATGGCAATGTGTCTCCAGCGATGCGGGCCTTTAATAGCGCAACCAGGCCCCTGTGATATCTGCAGCGCCGACTGAGTCCCTTTAGTGATGTCAGGGCTAGAAGGAAGTGACACCCAGTTACTTCCTCCTAGCTAACACAGAGCACCACATGGGAGGGCAGAGAGGAGGGAGTAACTCCCAACAGCCTCAGGCAGCTAACTGGACCCCTGGGAATCCACCCTGCGGCACCTTAAAGGTAGGAAACAGGAGGGTGGCAAAAAAAATGAACATTTTACATGTGTGCCTGTTTGTGCGTATCTGTGTGTCTGTGTATCTATCTGTGTGTCTGTATGTGTGTGTCTGTGTATCTATTTGTGTGTCTGTATGTGTGTATCTGTGTGTCTGTGTATCTATATTTGTGTCTATCTGTATGTGTGTGTCTGTGTATCTGTCTGTGTGTTTGTTTGTGTGTCTCTGTGTGTCTGTGAATATATCTGTGTGTCTGTGTATCTATCTGTGTGTCTATATGTGTATCAGTATGTGTGTCTGTGTTTGTATCTGTGTGTCATTCTGTGTGTCTGCATTAGATTTAGTGTGTGCATAGGTGTGTCTATGTGTGGTCTGTTTGTGTGTGTCTGTGTATATATCTGTGTATCTGTGTGTCTGTATATCTATCTGTGTGTCTGTATGTGTATCTGTATGTGTGTCCGTGTTTGTATTTGTGATAACATTCTGTGTATCTGTGTGTCATTCTGTGTGTCTATGTATCTGCATTAGAGTCAGTGTGTGTATCTCTGTATCTGTGTATGTGTTAGTGTGTGTGTGCATATTTGTATGGGCATCAGAGGGTGTGTGTATCTACATGTGTGTCAGTGTATGTATCTGTGTATCTGTATGTGTGTTAGTGCGTATGTCTGTGTATTTGCATGGGTGTCAGTGTGTGAATCTGTGTATCTTTTACTAAACGTTTACAACAGTACAGAGAAATACACAACATGACAGATGGGAAACTACCTTTTGTCCATCCTTGCAAAGGGGGGGGGGGCAGAGGTGGTGGGTTCAAAATTCTGCACCAAGGCCCTGTCTTCTTTAGTTTCACCCCTGGCTGTAATCCTTCCTTAAATGTATGCTAGCTGCATGTCCAAATGCTATTCATATACTGTGAATAAACCTCTGATTTACCAGGATTTTTCACTTTAATTAACATCAATTATTGTTCTGTTATTACATAACCAATAAATGTTTTTTGGGGGGGATTTGGTATCAATCTCTAGTAACACAAACTTAATTTTCCTTCTAAACTCATAGAATACATATGGTTAATGCTTCTTTATTACAGGATATATTGTAATGTGATACCCTATCATATCATCATGAAGAATAGTACATGTTAATGCAATATGCTTTACTAATTTGTGGCACATTTGTTGGTTAAAAATTCTTTGACTCAGGAGCATAATTGTTAATTATCAGGATTATACTGCTCATGCCATTGTATAGAACACTGGTGAGACCATAAGTAAAAACCATGAAATACACAAATACTTGGGTGTACAAATTTCCTAAATTATACTTATACCAGGAAAGGTTAAAGGATCTTAACATGTATAGCTTGGAGGAAAGACGAGACGGGGGGATATGATAGAAACATTTAAATATATAAAGGGAATCAACACAGTAAAGGAGGAGAGTATATTTAAAACAAGAAAAACTACCACAACAAGAGGGCATAGTCTTAAATTAGAGGGGCAAAGGTTTAAAAATAATTTCAGGAAGTATTACTTAACTGAGAGCCTAGTGGGTGCATGGAATAGCCTTCCAGCTGAAGTGGTAGAGGTTAACACAGTGAGGGAGTTTAAGCATGCATGGGATAGACATAAGGCTATCCTAACTATAAGATAAGGCCAGGGACTAATGAGAGTGTTTAGAAAATTGGGCAGACTAGATGGGCCGAATGGTTCTTATCTGCCGTCACATTCTATGTTTCTATGTTTCTCTTGATGGGATCACATTGAATACTTGGCTATGCCTTGATTGAGATCCCAGAGTATGTCATGGCCTATTTTTGTGTTGGTGTACGGGTCATCAAGTTTTCCTTTGGGCTCAAACCCAAAATGTTTCTGGATCCTAGCCCCTTTTATTTGGTATGGAGTTGGCAGTGGCCAAATGGTTAATACTAGTGGTTCCTGTCCATCGATCAACCCACCAGGTTTATATTAATCGTTCTGTGATGATAGAATGCTGACAATTTTAATACTGCAAGAGCGAAATAAAAATAAAACTCTCACTGCAATCAAAACAAGACTCAAGCATATATGTATTCTGCATTAAACATTCATATTTTTACACCTTCAATACAATTTTAAAAGAGGGGCATGCATCAAGTGAGTTCTTACATTTGTAACCTTCATTCTGTTTTTAAGTGAATGTGTCACAGCCCAATGCTGTGTTGTAACCTTCATTCGTGTTTTTAAGTGAGTGCGTCACAGCCCAATGCTGTGTTGTAACCTTAATTCGTGGTTTTAAGTCAATGCGTCACAGCCCAATGCTGTGTTGAAGTTATGTTTTAGGACGGGGCTACAAGTAACAGGTAACTCTCTTGCACTTGTTGAGCTACAACTCTTAGTGTGCTCACTCAGCTTATTCCCATCCAAATGCAGGCTTGTTTCATATCATATGCCATTCATTCGCCAATAGCTGGAGAGCCTGCTGAAGGCAGAGCCGGATTTCAAACATGGCGGACTAAGCTATTTGTGCAAGCCGAGAGGTCTTGACTTGGTGATAGCTTGGACACATTAAACCAAGATTCATCCACTCTTGGTCATTGCTGTCCACTTCATTCCAACTACATTTGAAAGATTATATTGTTGCATTTAGCATGTTAAGAACAGGACAGTCCGGCTGCCCATATAATAAAATTTATTTGTAGGTGCAAGTTTGACATTAGGTCATTAATAAGCAAAATGTGCTTTTGACACTGCCAAATAATGTGTTATTAGTGCCTTCATAGAAAGAAAAAATTTTATGTTGTGATTAAAAGTCTATAACTGCCCCGGGAATCAAATATATACAGAATAAACAGAGAAAAAAAACCAAGATAATAGATTAAGGGCAAAATTTAAGAGCCGTGGGTATCTTAGGCAGGCGACACTGACGAATTCGAAACGGAAGACACTTCAGTCCTTGAAGAAGTGGACAACTCAGATCCATCATCGACCTTTTTTCCAAAAAGTTGATAAATGCAGTTCCGGAACTATGGGAGAAATTTAATAAACAAAAATACATTAATAAATACATCGGCTTTACAGTCTAACCAGGAATAATAAGTAAAAACCATGAAATACACAAATCCTTGGGTGTACAAATTTCCTAAATTATACTATAATTATATATTTTATATGTTAGGAGAATGAGTTTGTAAATTTTTTTTACCTTTCTACAATCAATATCAGCACATAAATAGTCATGTCTAGTTTTTTTTTTGATGTCCCAAATTCCATTAAAGGAACACTATAGAATTAGGTAAACACAACCTATATTTTTAATGTTATAGTGTCCCTGTCCATAGTTGTATTGTTTGTCATAAAAATTAATAAAATAAATGATTTCCTTAACTTTCTCCAGCGCCAAAGCTCCCCCAGCGCTGCTCACCTCCTCCATGATGGTCAAATCCAACGAACACATTCAAGCTTCCTTATGGACTTCCGCATCACGTGACAAGTTTTACTTGTTCAGCGTCTCTAGTTGTTATCAGCATGACAGCCACTAGAGTTGGATTTTGTATTAGTTACATAGGCTGAAAAGAGACTTGCGTCCATCAAGTTCAGCCTTCCTCACATACGTTTTTTGCTGTTGATCCAAAAGAAGGCAAAAAACCTAGTCTGAAGTGCAACAAACTAGGAATAAAATCCTTTTTGACCCCAAAATAGAAGTCAAATGTCTCCTTGGATCAAGCAGCTATTACCCCACTAATTAGAAATTATATCCCTGTATGTTATGTTTTTGGAAGTATTTATCCAATTGCAGTTTAAACATCTGTATGGACTCTGATAAAACCACCTCTTCAGGCAGAGAATTCCATATCCTTATTGTTCTTACTGTAAAAAAAAAAAACATTTTCTTTGCCTTAGATTAAATCTCCTTTCTTCCAGCCTAAATGTGTGACCTTGTGTCCTATGTATTGCCCTGTTTATGAATAGATTTCCAGACAATGGTTTGTACTGGCCCCGAATATATCTGTATAATGTTATCATATCTCCTGTTAAATTGCTGTTTCAAAAAAAAAAAAAAAAGACTGCAATGTTTTATATTGCAGGATAAAGAGGACTGCGGCACTGCACCCAGACCAATTCGTTGAGACAAAGTGGTCTTGGTGACGATAGAGTCCCTTTAAAGCAGTGTTTTTAAAAATGGCATTCCTACAAACCTTAAGTATGACATCACGGTGCTCACTGCATTGCTTACCTGTCTGTTCATGAACACATAGATAATCGGATTGTAAATGGTAGCACTCTTGGCAAAGTACGCAGGCAATGAGGCAGCCAGAGGGTGGAAACTGTATCCTGGGTTAGCAGAGGCAAAGCAAGCAAAAAATGTATATGGTCCCCAGCAAAATATATATGCACAGATCATGACTACCACCATCCTGGACACTTCTCTCTCAGCTTTCTGAGTGGATTCTGACTCTTTCTGCTGCTGGGCAACCTGATTGATTAAAAGAGTAGCACAAAAAAATGCTTAGGACATTCACAATAAAAAAAAAAAATCTAGTTAGTTGTAACAGGGTTAGAGACACAGTAAGACGGACACAGAGCTAAATAGTAAGCCCCTTGAATGCGGAAAGACTAATTAATATTTTCTATGGAAAAATTCTATCAAATTCATTTAAGTTGTGTTGACGCCCAGATTGTGCAATGTGTATCCTTTTAGCGAAGCACATTGCTTTATACTTTTTATAGTGATTTAGGTAAAGATTTTTTTTTTTTGTGTACTGTTACATTTAGTGCCAGAACTAAGCCAACCATTTGCTCAAAGAGTTAGTTAATCTTTTTCAAATAATAAGATGTATTTTACGCACACATTTCTTACCACCATGACCACTTCTAAAAGCAGAGGTTGTCGTGGTGGTTAGGGTAACCCTTTAACCATGAATGTAGCATTTTAAAAACATCGCTCACCTTCCGGATGGCCCACCAAACGGCAATATAACAGAGGACAATGACACCCAGAGGAATTATACAGCAGGTAACCATGAGTACCATCATGTAAGACTGAACGCCAGGGTCCGTGCTTCCACTAAACACATCTGGACCACAGGAGGTCTTCAAACCATGAGGCCAATATCTGCAGGAGAAGATCAGTGTGTTTGCAGGTCTTATTTCTGAGGTTACGATGTTAAATGAAATGTTTTTTTAACTTTATCCCCCCAAAACAGAATATCTGGACAGATTGTAATGGATGTACCCCCTTACCTCAGATCTTCTTATGGCTAGCTAGTGTGGAGCAAGTATTGAGGTGATGTGAAGGTACCTGTGTACACCTGCTCTGTTCTGTCTTCTCAGCAGTTTTTTAGCATCAATTCTAATGCTTGACGCTATTACACAGCGCCCTTTTATCATGAACTACCCGCGCCTCATCATTTTGATGCAAGCTCTAGGGGGCGACTATGGCATCAACACACTCTTATAGTCTGGGCACGCAGTTTAATCAGCAGGTAATGCAAACTATATGAACTCCGCCATGCCTGAAAGCATTGCTTTGTTGGGGTTTCATAGTATTTCGAATAGAATGCTCCTGATAGTTATGGATTCAGTATGCTGGCGTTTGCTAACATTTTCTTACTGACTGTCATTTAATTCTGTATATCCTTGATATGTGCATTTACATTAAGGGACACTCCAGTTTGGAGTTCACACACTCTTATCTCCTGCATTATATAGAGGCTCTAGCAGGCTATTAATGCAGTTGCTGATGCAGTTGCATGCTCTACACACCAAAACCACTTCATTCAGCTACAGTTGTATTGGTGCTTAGAGTGTCCCTTTAAAATACATACATTATAAAGTAATGTTTGTTAAATCTCATATACTTATGATGGCCTTTACACGTCATTGATCCCGAAAGCATTAACCAAAATACCAACAACTGACGTTCCTACATTTGCTGCAAATCCCTAGGAATTCTTACTTATTTAATACGTTCTCTCTAGACCATGATAGGGTTCGGTCAGTCTTATGGATACCATATATTTCTGCGGCATTGTTGAATATATGCCATATCTCACAAGAGCTGTTTACGCTTAGAGGACTTAAATTATTTATAATTTAAACAATATATAACAGAAAAAAATAAGTTTAAAAAAAAAGAAACATTCACCTATCATAACCAAAAGTAACCTAATTTGTGCATACAACTGACATGTGTGGGGTATCTTCTTAAGGGACCAAATTGCTCTATCTTAGATAGAAAATGCGTTACCAGTGCTCCCAAACTTAATGCCCTGGGGGCAACTTCAAAAACCCCCAACCTACTCTGAGAATGGTGACTTCACCAAGCCTTGCACACACCTGTGAGTTACATTCAAGTCCTCTGCTATTTTAACCATAAAGAGTTAATCAGTTAATCACTGAATCTGAACATTGTTATGAATTGACCAAGGAATTGCAAAATTTGAATCAAAATAACCAAACTGAAAGATTTCTCCAGATCAGCCATTTTTCAAGCACAGCTAAATTGGGATACAATTTGCAATTATCTCATCATTTGCCAACAATTGTTGTTTTAGAAAATAACACTGGATAGCAATTTGTAGGCTCAGTTTAAAAACGTTTTTTACATTTGTAAACTATGTGAGTGCGCATATTGGGGATTATCTAATAAAATAGCTGAGATGACCCCTGTTTCAAAGTGTTTGACTTCATAGAAGGATTGCAAATTCAAAGGAACTTACCTGCTCCAACCAAAAATTGGAGGTGCACACCAGCCAGCTGACCAAACCCACGAGAATATTATGCCCGCAATTGCCAATTTTCCATCAAACTTTATGTTACCAAAAGGCTTGCAGACTACAAACCATCGTTCCCAGGCAATGACGGTTAAAGACCAAAGAGCAGTGATTCCTGACAAAACAGATAAAACAATGTAACTGTTGTAAAGTAAGGTCTACAAAGACATAAACTGAACACATACACGTGTAAGGTAGCTTATTTTGGTGATACGTTTTAAAGTTGCAGCATATTTATTTCTTAACCTCATTCAGTTTAAGACAATGTTCATGTGACAGTGTTATTTATATTTGAAGAGCTGACAGTTTTTCGTGGTGGGGTTGAACATTGAATTGCATTAGATTTTAGCTCCCAGCCTTCCAATGTGCAGCACAGCGGAAAATGCACTGTTTGAACTGCATAATGAAGCCGTGATGACATGCACAATGATGCAGAATGACCTCTGCGTCATCAGGTTATTCAGTATAGTTGGAAATATTTTATTCAATACGTGCCTTATATCCTTAGATACTGGTGGCATGTGTCTTGTAGATTGAAATATAGTCAGGGACCAAAAATGTTACTTTCTTAGTAACCTATAATTTTGGAAAATCAAATTATAAAATTAATGAATTAATTAATTTTAAAATAAATTCTGCAGAATACCATAATTAGACTTTTTACAATTTCCAAGGGCTCCTCGTTGCATTGGGGACAGCAGAGCTGCTGCAGTAAATAACTTACTATGTGTTACCTGGGGATTAATCAACATGATTAGCTTTTTCCTACCAATCCAGTAAAAAGTACCTTGAAAAAAACTAGGGCTTTGTAGAATAAATCATGTTCTGTTTAAAGCAGAACTTTCACTATTTGGGGACTTTGCATAATTTGCAAAGACCTCCGATGGTAACATCGCCGCTGGGAGTCCGGTGGCCCAGTGCGGCAGGCAAATGCGAGTTTAACATACCTGAACCTGTCCCTCATGGGTGAACCGATCCTCTGTTGGATGGTCTTCCTCTGCATCTGGCGATTCAGCATCAGGAGCTGGTGTCACTGCTGTACTCTCGCACGTGCATGAGTGTACAGCATTGAGGTCTATGGAGGATACGAGGAAACCGCAGGATCCACCATAGATAGAGCCAATTCCCTGCAGCTGTGATGGCTGGGGAATGGACATTTCTTGAGGGCAGTAGCTCCGCCGAGTGTCAAGAAGTGTCAAGCGTTGGAAAAATACTGAGACAAAGTAGTCTCAATGACAGGAGCTATGCTGAATTTGTCTCAAAGATTATACATTGTAAAATGCAAATAATGGAAGTAAGTCAAAATTTGATTTTGATTAATTTGACTGTAAAAGGAACTGAATGTACTGTTCTGAGATCTTTTTGAGACCTGGAGGTTAAAAAATCCTAGAACAAAGCATTAACCATCTGATCATTTAATAGCGTAGTTTTCTGATAACATCACTTCTACTGTAGAGTTAAATTTACTCAGAGTTTTGCATGTCTAGGCCAAGAGAAATGTTCTAGCAACCAGAAGGTCAAACTTTCAAAACAGGCTAACTCACCCAGAGTATCTATATAAAAACAGTAGGTGTTTCTATTAGGTTCTTGGTTTTTTTTTATTTTACCATATGAGCTACCCAGTTGAAATCTCTACAAGTGATCCCTTTGATTATGTCACTTGTCAGGTTCACTTTTAATTGATAATAACTATTATAATATCTTACCACATGTTGCAACTGTGAAACCCTCCAGAACACAAAGTGGATGGCCAAGGATAAAGTAACCAGAAATTTGGTTAATGACACTGATGACACTGGCAATAACTGTCTCTCCAAGGTCAGCGATTGCTAGGTTGACCAAGATCCAGTTCAGAGGATGTCGAAGCTTCTTAAATTTATAGGTGGCAACCAAAACTAGGCCATTGGTGAAAACAGAGGCCATGACCACAAAGATCATCCATACTGAAGTGAGGTTGTAGACCCATCGAGGTGCGATGTGGTAATTTGGACCATCAAAGGGACCTGAGGTTGAGAAACAGACATTTACAATGTTGCAAGCAGTACTCGCAAAAAGAAATCCAAAATGAAGATGAACCGATGTGTACTATATATTTAAAGTGAAGACTTTGGGTAAATATATTAAGTGGTAACGTTATTTTATGGAATCCGATTTTTCCAATTGAAACATATTCTACACAGAAAACTCATAGCATTGCCATTTGTCAAATTGTTATTTAATAAAGTGTGACCTGTTAGGAATTCAAAGTGAATGATCAAATTATACGTTAAAATACACAAACGGGGGGGGAATTAAAGTAAGCTATGTTTTTTGACATTTTAGCCTTTAATTTGAAAGACATTTTGACATTTTATAAATTAATTGTAAATTAAAAGTAAAATTGACAATTCCATTACAGATCTTAACACTTACTGGTCCTACTTGATAGGTTAATGGAGCCAACAAGGGGTTTCTCACCATGTTCCTTGAAAAGCCTCAGGTATATTTCCCCTAAATCATGAAGGCTTTCATGTAATACTGAAGGGTTGACCTACACGGTGTGTTATTTTGATGGAGTCCACTCCCCAAACCTAATATAACTTATGAGATTCACATTAAAAGACTGGAGAACACCACTTTATGGTACCTTGAACAGTAACCCACAGTATAATATAGTTGCGGGTAAATTGATTTTTTTTTTTTTAAATCATTAGTGAATTCAGAGGAATATGTATATACACATATACAGTAGATATATACATTATTATATATTATGTGGGAAGAGGGGTATTGGATACTTTTTGTACTTTCTGTTGTTCTCGCTTTATCTATTTGATTTTCTCCTGGGTCCGGCTGAATTTTAACTTTTATTCACCAGTATTCTTGTGTGTACTATTTGATATTTAAATGGATGTTATCATTTTTTCAATTGTCTTTAAAAAAGTCAAAGTATGGGACTGAAATGTTGACAATTATACAATGAACTCACTATAAATTAGCTCTAACTGTATTTGACACATTGAATGAATGCCCTCGGTGCTTCGATGTATTTTGGCAACTTTCCCCAGAACTATAGATGAATACTGTCTTTCTATATCCACCAGCTCCCACTGGGCTAATTTAGGAAAATTCATTACCCATACTGGCCTTCACATACACATTCTTTTTCACATGCACTTACATTTGTGTACGCAAATACATTCAAATATACACAAACACATATAAACACACACAGACACACACATTCATACACGTACATGTACACACACACAGACTCATACACACACATATTCTACACAAACACATATTCATGTACATAGGGAAATTCATACACACACACACACATTCATATATACATATATACAGACATACAGGCTCATATACACACATATATTCATATACACACACTGACTCATACCAACACATACATCCATATACATACATACACACTTAATTTTTATTTTATCATTGTTATTATTATTTTTATTTTTTTATTTTAACATTGAGGTACACCTAACCTCCCTTTTCTTACCTTGAAGAGAGCTGGAGTGGTCCCTGGGGTCCAGTGGAGAGCAGCAGGGATCAGTCTCTGTATACATTCCTTTTTTTTTCTAAAACTTTTTTATCTATTTTTCTTATTGCATCTGATGCTCTGATGTTCATATTCCTTACAATAATTGTATATATTATGTGCGGATGCTAATTTTGTCATTATCACACCCGTTTTTGAAAAAGTAGCTCTGTTTTAAAATTCCTCAATTTATTGAAATTGAAATTAATCCTAGAACAAATTAGATGGCTGTTTATTATTGCCGATTCAGGTCTGCGTAGTAGAAAATAAGCCAACTTGTTAATTACACTGCAAGTAACTAGGAAGCATTATAAATAGTTTATTGGAGCCCCCTGAAGAGCATATTCTAATTCATGCTGATTTCTACAGGCAAAATTAAACCATTATCACTGGAGGAACTATTCATAGAACACGGTGTAAATATAGTTTATTTGAGCTACACAACCTTATTTTTCTGTGTATTCAAATTTATAATGTCTCACTAAAAATCATGTATTTATTATATAATATAATATTAAAAAATATTTATTTATAATTTAATAAATTATCCAAAAACATTCAGAAATTAACAAAAAAGTATATTTATCAAGTGATATTTTTTCATTCTTATTAAATTTTATTATTTTAATATCTATGTAAAGATAACCAACTCCTTTCAAATACATTTTATTTATCCCATTTTGCTTAAACAGTAAAATATAGTAAAAATGTCAACGTCGTTATGATTGGTGGTATCTTATTGCTCCAATTCTCCCATGATTATCTGGGGAGAAAATATTATTAAGAGAGTCGCACTTTGTTGCTCACAAATGTTGATTTTTTATAGTGCTACCATATATTAAACCCTCCTCCAGATTAACACTTGATATAATTATGCACAATTACATTATGTCAACTGACTTACTGTCAAGATCGATCTGTAAGGCAATGTCTGCTCTGAACTGTCCCTTAATTAAATCAATTAGTGGAGATATATTTATCATTATCATCCCTTCTCAGTGCAGAGAAGCTACATTTTCACGCGATAATCAGCTATGTCCTAAAGAATATGCTTAATTGCTTCAGAATGTCGATAGGAAATAAATATGTCCAGTCCATATGCATAAAATACATATTTCTATTTAATACTCTAGAAGATCATTATTAGACAGGGACCACAGTTATGAACAGTGAACTTCGATCAGTGACCTGTTTTTTTGAGTCGAAAAAGCAACTCAATAACCTTTTGTTTCCAATTGTAGAATTAGATCAATTACATATTATTCGATAGCAATGTAAGAAATAAGAAAATTAATTCTGATAAACAACTTCATTAGACTTTTCCCAATGTTTAAGTGGTCTCCACTACACTTGGAAAGACAGAATTGGTAAACTAAACCATAAATCGTTGCAGTTTCTTGGAACATGACAAATTGGATGTGCCTGGTCTAACCTGTGGACTTCCTCTAAAATAGCATAGAATTCTAACTTTGGACCCAGAAACTGCTCAAAGGACCACGGTACTACTCGCTTATGGTGTTGAGAGGTTTATTCTTATTTCTGGTTTGTTCTCTCCAAACCGTACTCTTTCAGGGCTAATAAAACTACTCACCCCTGGTGTTGTTGCTGTTTGTGTACGTGAAAATACTACTTCTGGTGGTGTCCTCATCGTCTTGCCTTCTTCGAGCAGCGAAAATGGCTTCGTTCCATGATGCAGCCATAACCGGTGTGTTCTTTTGATTCCAGATTCCTCTTTCTTTGTGGTTTAATTAAATCCTTGTTGCCTTCCAACCACCTCCTTCTTTCTCCCTGTCCTCCACTCTCTCTCTAATTTTGTGTCTTCCTCTACACCTGGCTGTCACTTGGTTGAGATGTGACCTCTCTCCTATTATATACCAGACTCAGATGGATTAGCCTAGACACTCAGAAACAAGCTCAAGCCCCCTTAAACTTTTTATCTCTTAATTGGCGTATGAGTTTAAAGTTCACCCCTCCTTCTCTTCTTTCTGCTACCACTGTGACTTGTGACTCCTTGCTGGGGGCTTACGTCAGTGAATCAGGCTAATAGTTACTTTATTGGACACTTCGGGTGACAGGATAAGAGCTCTGTCACAGATAAAAGAGACAGACAGAGGAGGGGAGAGGCTTGGGAGATTTTTAGCTACAAAATCCCTTCTCATCTTCTCCATGTCTTTCCATTTGCTAATACCCTTCCTTACACTTTGTGAAATTGGGGTCACTGTGCTAATTAGGAGAATTTCAAATAGTATATTTAAAAAAAAGTCATGGTCCCTTCCTTGCTGTAATTGACACTATTTCTATCCCATATTCTAATGCCTTCCAGACTTTCTTTAGAAAAAAATTGCAGATGGTTGGGCTGTCTTAACGTCAATGGAGAGAAATTCAATTAGAGACTCAGAGAAAGTTTTGGAACCTCTCTCACTTTCTGTAATGTCATCCGTAACTTACAAGCGTTGTCGGGTTCCAAAAAAAAAAATCTGCGCTAAAATCTTGTGTCACGGCAAGTGTGGAAGTTTAAACTGTTAATCAATGTTAAGTATCTGTGCAAATGCATCAAAGGTTGCCAACAGCAAACACACACAAATATATGACACACAGGCATATGAACAAGTAGGAGATAGTAATTAATTAGTTTCTTCAGTAGCAGAAAAATTGAGGTTGAAAAGGAAATTTTTGTTCCCACTCCAGACACTTTTGCCACCATTCACAGTTCTTTATTCCCTTTTTATTTATTTATTTAGTCATCTATCTCACTTCAGATAGAAGAAAACTGATATATTTTTTTAAAAACAAACTAAATTTTCAGAATTTGAAAAGCTCAATTTGAAAAGCTCTCCAATTCCCTTAGGAGCTCTACACAATTTCCAATTTAGAGAATAAAAGGATCTATTACATATAGCACCTTCATCCAATTACAGTAAATATTTCCAGTTCCACAACATATTTCAGCAAGTTTGACTAAGTTGCCGAGTATGTTTTCTAACATATTACATAGAAATGTAGATTTGATGATGGACCGAATCTGGCTTCTTCTCAACCCTTCCCAGCTTTGATATTTTGGTTCCTGGTTCTCAGGGTCTCTGCTTTCTCTGTTTCCTGTTCTATCAAGCCTCCATTCTATCACAGACTTCCTGCTCCCATCTTCAGGCCTTCCTTTGGAGTGGTGTTTCACAAGGGTGTGCTGTCTACCTGCAATTGAGTTACTGCTCGGCAACCCAGGGAGTAACCCCGAACAATAGTCCTGTTGACCACCTTGGATGAGATCTCCCTGCAGCCAATTGGTTTAAAAATATTGAGCCCCTATTACGATAGCTATAAGGACCCCTCGATATATCTGAAGGAGACCTTGCAATCTTTGCTAGCCTACCGTTTAAGTGTGAAATAGCAGTATCATTAGATCAGTACAAGGTCATACTGCTATCATAGCTTGTTATCTCTACATGTCACATTCCCATTTTCTCACCCGCAGATCAGTGCCCGTTCAAAGAATGATGTCCTTTATTCTGTTCTATATCTGTCACAAATACTGCTTTCCATTCGACATGCTATATGTCTGTCTACAAGGGAAGGTTTTCACCTTGACTAATTACTCTCAATTCAAGCGGTAATTGAATTCAGATACTTAGCAGAAGCCTTTTGACAGATGCACCTGAGATTATCGTTGCTTTCTGCTATGTACTAGGAACTAGTTAGCACAAAGAACCCCAAATCTTATAAATGTGTCACACTGAAGGGTCGATCCTGATGAGGAATGACATCAGATGCTCATGCCCAACATTAATCCCCCCCATAGGATTCTCAGTTCAGGCCAGGGAAGGAAGATTAAAGGAAACAATTTAATCCTGAATGCTTGGAAGAATTGGAAAGCAGAATTTAGGCTAAGTAATGGCCAAAGAAAAAAGAATAGGGACGGGGGAGAGTAAAGGTACATGAATGCTAGGGGATTGATTAGTTTGGAGAGAGAGATGTCCACGTTGAATTGCAGATTTCTCCTTGTTGAAGAGAGATGAGGACTTGAAGACAAGAAGACCTCAAGTCAATCCTGCTGACCACAATCACAAAAGAACATTGGCCATGTGTAGGACAGGTAATGGAATTTTGAGACATTCTGATAATGGTGATAACTAGGGAATGAAGTGGTTGAATTGGTGTATTCACAAAAAAGTAAGATGCCAATGGGTTTACAAATTACAGGGCAAAAACATGTTGTGTTTTCCTTTACAGTTCTAGGTTCCACCTGTTTTTGGGAGATACATGAATAGCGCTGCTTGACAGTATGTAGAATTCAGATATATTCAATAACAAGTTTGACTAGTACTTAACTACTATCTAGTCCGTTTAGTTACTCTTAAAGGACAACTGATCAAACTGTTTTTAACATAATGACCCTTTCATCATGTTTTGAAAAAACAAAAATATATATAATTTAATTTTATTTATTTTTTGTTATGACGTATATGTTAAAAAAAAAAAGAGAGAGAGAAATCCATCCCCACCTTTAGTATGTGAAGTATCCTTCGGCCATATACATGCAACTTTGGACAGACAGTCTCTATGGTCTTCCTTGCCTCATTCCCTGCACAGAAACAGGGAAGACCATAGAGACTAACTGTATGTTTTCATACACTGTTTGACTCAAGGTGCATGTATATGGCTGAAGGATCATGTCATTTGCTAAAGGCAGGGATGAGTTATTCTCCTTGTTTTTTCCTCAGATACTTCATTTAAAAGACTTTTTAAAACATGACGAAACGATTATCAAAAAATCATACCATTAAAATAATTTTTGGGGTGATAGCTGTTCTTTATTGTTTTTCCTGACAGTAAATGGAACTCTGAACTCTCTGAGAAAACATGGCCGAGCTAGTTTTTTTTTAGATACATCCTGTTGTTGCCAAGACAATTTTTTTTTTTTTAAATGTAGAATGATGTTTTCTCAGAGCTCTGGGTAATTTGTACAATTGACAAATCTTTATCAATCACTAATAAAAATAGACAATGGTTTTATTTAAATGATGACTAGGTTAAGGAAAATGGAAAACAGTAGATTAAAATGAAACTCTCACTTCCCGGGACTTTTTAAATTGTGTTTACTTATCCCCTACATTTAACAAATATGTATTTGTGAGGTGTGAAAAATTAAATAAAATGAAGATATCCACACCTCTTTGTCATTCATCTGGATTCCTCCATTTTACCTCCCTGTCAATCTGTGTCAGAGGACAGAAGACAGGCTGAAAGAACATGGTGGCGTCAGCAAGGCACAGGTTTAAGTAAACGAAGCTCACCTTCTCGTGCCCTCCCAGCAGCGTTGTAACCGACGAGGGTGTTTGTGAATTTAGCAAATTGTCCCCACATGGTGACAGTGCCATTTTAAGACCAAGAGAGCTGCACTGAAGATAAATGTATTTATTTTTATTTATTTTTTAATAGAATTACAATATAAATGGACATAACTCTATACATTTTGTTACTTGTTGCTAAAAAAAAAAAAATTGAGCTAACAGTTCCGAACATTCCTCACTGGATAGTGATGGTGAACCTTTAGAAGTAAAACTGTGTAAGTAATCTCAGGTTAGTTGGATAGAATGGCAAACTGCATCTTGCATTGTAACTTTCACTGACTGTTTTATATTTTATTGATACATCGTTCAAACTAGCAAACGTTATTTCTGGTAACCAAGCGCCCCCTACTGTAACCAAGCTGTATTGACATGCAAACAGCAAAGGAACACTATAGCGTTAGCACTATAAACCTGTATTTCTAACACTATCGTGTCCCTCTACAGGGACATTGCATCCAGACCACTTCAATTAGCTGACGTGGTCTGAGTGTCTATGGTGCCCTTCTAATATTTGAAAAATCCAGCCTCCTTTTGCAAGAAACCTACTACTATAAATACTAGCTTTAATCTTTAATATAACTTTTTTTCTGAGGAATTTTACACCTACCACTTGCAGTAATATTCGCTAAAGTGTGAATTGCTGGTAATGCAAAGTGAAATTAATGTGAATTAAAAATTTGAGGTCAATCGTCGAGCTGGAAACTTAGTTGTCTTTGTAAATGCTCCCCTTAATTTTTCTATGTAATATTTTAATGTTTATCTGGGATAGGAACGTGCACATTTGTTCCCCATCAATTCCTATTTTAATATCAGCTATACGTTTGATGACAACTTATTATTGCCCTCCTCACACTGCTATTGGTGAGAGTGCCATAAAACTGCACAGTTTAATGATTGATAAATACCTTCACCAATGGCAGTTAGCTCTAATTGTCTCCTATTGCAACCGTATGGTTTGAGTCAGAATGCAGTCACCGTCTGTCCTCTCTCTCAGGGTACTAGGTAGGAATTCCGCTAGTTATGAACTATTACATATTGCTAAATAAAAGTTCACTACTAGCAGAACTCGGCCGAGTACTGCACTAGCAGCTAGAGGACAGAGCCGGAGAAGGATGACCTGTTTTGCCAAAAGTCATCTTACCCTCTCTCGTAGCATTGAGCAGTTGACCTGGGTACCACAACCTTGTGTTTTTCATTTAAGGTTCTGGTAGGACTGGTGCCTGTTCTGTGCCTCGTAGGGTGCTCTGTAGGTTTGCTCCAACAAAGCCAGTGGTAGGCAGCCTTCCACACTCCAGATGTTGTGGACTATATCTCCCCTGATGCTTTGCCAGCGTCATGGCTGTCAGAGCATTATGGGAGATGAAGTCCAGAACAGTCCAAAACTGTATACTTTTCCAAAAATGCTGAAGGATACAGCTTGCTGTAATGTAACTTACACAGTTAGCACAGACATTTCTTAACAATTGGCTCAGATTTAGTTCTATAGTTTATTTACAGTCAGGATTATTCTCTAACGCAGGGGTCCTCAAACTCCGGCCCTCCAGATGTTGCTGAACTACAAGTTCCATGATTCTCTGGCTATCTGTGTAATTCAAAGAAGCATGGGAGTTGTAGTTCAGCAACATCTGGAGGGCTACAGTTTGAGGACCCCTGCTCTGACGTGTGAACTGTCGTTTTGGAAAATTTTGCGCCAAATTGAATACAAACGTGATTTTTTTTTCAAACTGACAATCATTACCTGAAATTTGAAATTCACTATAAAGTCACTTTAAATTTCTGACATTTCACATGTTTGTGAATAACCCTTATTGTTTAATGGGGAGAAATAGCAACCTTAATTTAATTAAAGGCAACTTACATCTATCACCTGAACTGACCACCGATTGCTACCATTTTCAAAATATCAAGTTCCCATGATTCGTTGCACACATGCGTGCAAAATGCCTTAACTTGAAGTCATGAGTTTTATTTAAAATCCATTAAATTATGTTTCACGGAAAACTTCATAGTGAACCCACCATAAAATTTAATTTAGAAAACATAAATAGATACAGTATAATATCTCTTCTGGTGTAAAAATAATTAGTGATTTTTTTGTGGTGTATAAAAATGTCTTAAAGTTGTAGGTTTTGGTTAACGTAAAAGGGTGCGAAATGCGTATACTGCTGTTATCTCTAATTTTGCAAGGCCGTAAGTTACTGAATGAATTTTAATACCCATATGTGGGAGAATAGAGAAGATTAACATTTCTATTTTGAAACCCAGTTGCTGTCATCCGTCTGTTTTGTGCATTCGTTTGTGTGGTTGGACCACCACATCCCATACAAGATTGGGGTCACTGCAGAAAACCAGGTATGAGCTGCCTGTGGATTTAAGTCCTGTGTGCATTTATTACTCCAACATTTGTGGATAATTTATTTTATTTGGAGACAGTTAGCCCCTTAAGGACATAGCTTCAGAAGTAAAAGGCCAGTATGACAATTTTTCCATCTTGTGTCCTTAAGGGGTTAAAAGTTTACATTGAAGCTGTAATCTCTCGTTTGAACAGATATCATTATAAAGCTTGGGATTTTTTTGTCGACTATTGCTTTCTTATTTTTTTATAATTTACTTGTTGATTGTATTATTCACTGTTGATATTTTGTGATTTGTTCATTAAAGCTAACTTTCTTGATAGACCTTCTGGATGCACAGACAGTTCATCACCACTAGGAGGTGGTAAGGAGAAAAAATGCTGCGAACACAACCATATCGTTAATGAAGATGTTCTGGTACTGAAGGTACTTGGGACTACGACTACCACAATTCTTAGCCAGCTACCACATAGAAACCTCATAGTATATATATATATAGTGTAACAAACAGCTTATCAATAGTACCAGACTTCCATGTATATTTATCAAGAATAAATCCCTTAAGCAATAAATTGAGTTGTAAAAATAGAAAATATATATATATATTTATATATATATATATATATATATTTTATAGAAAAGGACATATAAAATTGCATGTATTTAAAAAAACAAAACTCAAACAGATAAGCCCAATGAACAGCCACATCCGAGAAAATAAATTTCATATTTACACATTAATTTAAAGGGACACATCTCATAGTTACACATTAATTTAAAGGGACACATCTCATATTTACACATTAATTTAAATGGACACATCTCATAGTTACACATTTATTTAAAGGGACAGTCAAAGCAAAATGCAACAAACTTTGCAGGTCAGTGTAGCTGATATCATGCTGAAAGACAGCAAAGTAGGAATTTAAATCTAAATTGCCTTCTCCCAACATCAGAGCATAGCAAGGTTATGAAGTCCCTGGGGGTAAGCCCTTTATTTGCAAAACCCCCAACCAGTTCCATGCCCCTAACAGATTGTAAATCCTTTGCCAAGAATTTTTTTTATAAACAATAATAATGACAGTTGGAAAAAGAGTTTAAAATGGAAAATATTTCCACTTCGGATATTTTGACCTAGATTTTGCGATTCCCTTACAAATTTGCCACAGTTCACTTTTTACAGGGTTATTCACAGTGAGAACTGTCACAAATTTAAACTAAATTTCAAATTTAAGGCCAAAGTAGTCAAAACTAAAAATATTCTTCAAGTCGGCTATGCTTCCATTTTGGATAATACTGAACTCAGTACCCCTTCAGGGTAGCCCATGAACAGAGCCCTGCTCAATATGCCCTGCAATTAGAGGTAGAGGTTTTACTGTGGGGGGTAGGGACAGTATAGTGTAGGGGATATAGGGGAATTATTGGGGGGGATAGTGTGTGTGGGGGATAGGGACAGTATAGTGTAGGGGATATAGGGGAATTATTGGGGGGATAGTGTGTGATGGGGATAGGGACAGTATAGTGTAGGGGATATAGGGGAATTAATAATCTTTGGAATAGTGTGGGGGGGTAGGGACAGTATAGTGTAGGTGATATAGGGGAATTATTGGGGGGATAGTGTGTGTGGGGGATAGAGACAGTATAGTGTAGGGAGCATAGGTGGGTTATTGGGGGGATAATGTCTTTACTGTGGATGGATGGGGGCAGTATAGTGTGTGGTTATGGAGGCAGTATAGGGAGATAATGCCTTTACTGTGGGGGGACAGGAGTAGCATTGTGAGGGTTATAGCTGCAGTATAGGTAAGTAGTGACTTTAAATTAAAAAAAATAAAAAAGGAAGCAAGGTGACAGTAAAGTGTAGGATCCACCTGAGGGGGTCTGCCTTGATGTTAGCAGGCAGGCATTCCCTCCAATGGCCATTGGAGTAACTAAATAACCTCCATTTGTTTAAATATACATAGGGATTTAGGAGAGAGCGCAAGTAGTGACTTTACTGTGGGGCGATAGGGGTAGAATTGGGAGAGAGTGCTTTAGTGTGGGTTATAGAGGCAATAATGAGGGAAGGGAAAAGGACTTCACTGTGAGGAGTAGTGGCAGTATTGGGCGGTATTGGGGCTTTAGTGTGGGATGTAGGGACTTTACCTTAGGGAAAGTATTGTGCGTGGGCAGTATTGGGGGCATAGGAGCATTTTGTGGGGTATAGGGGCTTTACTTAGGGAGAATAGGGCTGTATTGGGAGGTATAGGCGCTTTAGTGTTGGGGATAGGGGCTTTAATTTGGCGCTCAGTATTATGGGGCAAAGGGTCAGTACTTGGGGGAATAGAAACTTTACTGTGGTGGAAAAGGGGCAGCACTGTGGAGGGAATAGGGGCAGCATTGTGGGGAGATAAAGGCTGCCTGTACCCACTGGAGGTGCAGATCATACAGGCCACCCAGAACAGCTCATCAGGTGTTTGGCCGATAGTCAGCCAGTACGTTGGCATCAGAGACAGTATGTCTCTGATGCCAGTGGAGTGCCCCATCACACCAGCGTCAAGTGGGGGTTGCCCTCTTCTGCCCCTCCACCTTGCCTGCTAGTTAAAGCCAAGTGTTGCCAGATATGTAACTTCGCCTGTGGCTGCGCCATTAGCCAGCATGGACCGTTCTGGGCTATCTAATGTTAAATCTGTGTATATTGGACATCTCATATTAGCGTGCATATCATGCTGATGACAGACAACCAATAGCTGCTTCCTCCACCCTCCCTGTGTCGCTCAAGTCCTCACCTCAGCCCGTCTTCTGGGACCTCTTTCTCCCGGTAGTGAGGAAAAGTGACATCTCAGGAGGAAGATCAGGCTTCTGGGAGAACTTGGCCTCAGCATGGACATTTTTACCTTTTAATATTGATTATTTTTTTTTATTTTTTTGAGAGGGTACCATGTCAGTCAGGGTGTACTCTGACCAAAAACAGTGTTATAGATATTTTTTTTTTGTGATAACCACTTAGCCTCTGTTGGGTGCAGAGTTAATCTCATGACTAAGGCACACCTCCATTATGTATATTTTCTAATGCTCACCACTGTAGCAAACAGTCTCTTTTGTGTGTTTGTATATTAGTGGACATGTGTATGTATGTGAAACTTGAATGTGTACTATATGTATGTTAGTATGTTTTAATTTTTTTCCTCAAAAGTTGAGTCTGAAGTGGAGAGAAGGTTAGGGGAACATGGAGTATCACAAGTTGGGAACTGGGGACACCGAGGTGGGTTTGCATGTGCAGTAGGGAGACCTGGACTTCATTGAAATTTATTTTTTCTTGTGCATAATAAATCCCACTGCTATTTAAAAACAAATATCCAACACCTGACTTCTAAACACCAATACCCAGCCAATAAACATACCGTGTAGCACTCATGGACTGGACTTATCTTAAGAAGAAACAAACCTATACAGGCTATGTGTTCATTATCCAACTGGAACATACAGAACTACATCACTGTAGAACCTCGGAGTTAAGACATGGAGACCAAAACGGACAATGGACAAAAATTTTAAACTTTCTAGAAGGTTTTTAACAAGTTTAGCTCCCTTGCGCCATTTCAGAATGTAAACTTACTATTTGAATATCTGATTTATCCCACCAAGAAGAGCAGTTCAGAACCAGAAGGCTAGGGGGTTCCCCTCTGCACCAGTCATTTTTATAGACAAAGTTCATTTCCTTCAGAATCACCATAATTTATCCATAATTTCTGACTATTATTTTCTCAGGTTTTAGAACCACACGGTGGCCAGAGGTGCTGCTCACTTAAAAGTATAAGACTTAATTTTGTATTTACACATTGGCATTTTGCTGAAATTTGATCAAATAATATAATTGTATGACATATTAAATAAGAGGTCTTTTAAATAAAATGCCTCTTGTTTAACGAGAAGGCTCATTCAATCACATCATCTAAATCTATAAAACAGGTTCCAAGAAGCAGGTGGTAAAGATGCATCTGATATGTTTATTAAATGAAAAGACAAGTCCTGAAATCTAAGCTATTTTTTTTTTTTTAAAGGTAAGGAAATACATGTGTAAGCTTGGAGATAAAGCCCTGGGTTATGATATTTACAATGTAGACCAAGTTAACAATCTTAATCTAAAAAAAACATTTTCATCGACATCAGGATTGCAGTCCGGAAAAGGTTGAATAGGATATGGAAAAAGTTGACTATGGAATCTGGGTATTTTGTAGCTCCCGAAAAGGCCTAGGGGCTTATGGTAACTGGAAAAGATGAATACTTCACTACTTGACTTTTCATGTTCTGCTTTTGACCAGTTTGAAAGAGTATTTCCTTCTTAAAGTAAACGATGGTTGGTATGTCTTTGCAATTTGGGTAAACACCAGCTCTTGATTATACGTAGTCATGGACAGAATCATTAAATCTGGGCAGAAAATCTATTCACGGTCTCTTTTTGTCTCAAAACAAAACCTTTTGGAATCTTTGGAACTGTTGTACTATGTTTTGTGTAGGGAGTGTGAGTCTTGTCCAATGTAAAAGGAAATAAAGTCTTCCATGATCTTGTTCTACCTCTAACAGCAGCATATGGTGGGCTGGGATGAAGTATCTTTACAAAACAATAATACAAGTAAAAGATAAGATAAAAAGGAACAGTCTCTCTTCATTAAATGGAATTATAGGAGATATTAAACTAGTTCATTCTTTACGTCCCTCTCTTGCAACATCCAGATAGCATGCTCTAGAATAGATCATTTAATAAACATGGACAAACTTTTCAGAATTGATCATTCTGGTCACTTTCTGAAATTCACTATGAGAAAAAAAAATAGAAATAAAAAAATACCAGTAAAAGTAATTTGAAAAATGTTTACGCACTACCTCTGTTTAAATGAGGAACGTGTATGGGATGGACAACTGTATGGGAATCCAAAAAATATTCTGGCTAAATTAATTAATTGCATTACCAACTGCCGGGAGAGATATATTAGTAGTTTTGGTTTGCATGGAATGTCAGGTCTCCAACTTAACATAATACCTCTTTTGTGGTTGTTTTTATAAGATGGTTAATTATTTGTATATTCTAATATATATGGAGGGTTATGCATGAAGAGGGATTTGGTAACCATGAGCTGAAACTGTCTTCTGGTTTCCACAGTGATTGCTCCTCATTTAGAACTTTTACCAAAAATTCATCTTTGTATCGAACCCCCAATGCATCTTACTACATCTCAACTCTTGTTTCGTAGGAATCCTTAATCATATAACATATGCATATTAAAGAAACGTTAGCATTTTTATATGCTGGAACTGGAAATACTACGTCCCTTAAAGTTCTCCTTAGAGAACACTTAAGTACATTGTGGGGATCTTAATTGTGTTGCAACCAAGTATGGAAGTCTCCTGGTTTTCTCTGTTAAGCCTGGGGAGCCAATTAGAAGAAAGCTAAATGCCCAGTACTCTGTTCAGTTACATCAAATAAATTAGTATAAGTTGCTTTTTTTTTTGTACAATGGGTTTGTGATTTAGGGCTGCGAATTAAATTGCAGGTAAATTTATAAATTTATAAAATCTCCACAGCTCCATAAAACCGCTTTCCTACCTACATCCACTTGACATAATAAGTCTGCATTCTGACCTGCGTTCCTGGTCCTGTGTAGATTTTCTTATTATTAGGCTAAAGGTGCAGTAATGTCTGTTATGACGGACATTAAGACACCTTTAAACCTAAAATGAGTTTCATCAGCTGAAAACATGTTACTTTCAGAAAAAAAACTCATGTGTCTCGCAAGACTAAAAAAACAATAGTGGACCAACTATTAAATGTAACCTGTTGTCCGCAACTCTCATAGTCCTCAGCTATTTGTTCCGTAGCTGAGGATGATAGAGGTTGCATCCTAACAATGGCATTAATGCAATTTCCTACCCATGAGATAGGCCTTACACAATAGAATTCTAGGAAAAATAGGGGGTCCAATCTTGAGACCTCTTACTACCGAGAAAGGAATTTGGTGGCCCCTGCTCCTGTGTCTGTTTGTGTGAAATTAAGATTCATTTGGATGATGAAACAGGATGTGGGATGTGAGGTTGGAAGTGGGTTCTTGGCTGGTTGTGGAGCCACTTGGAAGCTTTTGAGGGCACAGAGCCGAGGCAGCAAACGTGGCAGAACAGAAGCCGGGCGTGGCTGGCGTTATGCTGGGGCCACTTGACTGCTAGACACTGAAGACACCTGAGTGGATCCAGAGGCGGATGTGTCTTCATCATCTCCTAAGGGATTCTTGCCACAGAAGATCATCTTCATCATGCATGAGCGGAACTGGAAGGAGTCACAATAAAAAAGCTTTAGAACGAGCTACACACAATCTACAAAAAAACTCTACAATGCATCAGTAAAATGACAATAAACTGGCCCTATTTGTCTACGGAGATGGGCGCAAGGCCAGTGTGAGAGATGACAGGAGACAAAGAGCCAACGTGCTAAAAGGACCAGTTAGGGCATCATAACAACTTAATCGAAATTAACTTGTTATGGTTCCAGGAGGTCCTTGGCGCTGGCTCATGGTGTCAGTGGGGAGTCATGATTCCCTTTTATTTCTGAAATTGTGTCCTTAAGGGGTTAAGCTACAGTAGATGAAAGAAGACATTGTCCGGACATGGACAAGTAATCCAAATTATGCTGACTTTAATCAGGAATGAAACAGCAATAGTTTGGCTACACTATTAGCTATACTCCTCATGAGAATGTTTTTACTGAGACTACTCTACTCTAACAACAGAATGTGACCTATTATGCAATATTTTAAATAAGAGTTCTTTCTGCATCTCATAGCCACATTCGTCAGTGTAGCAAAACTACTGCGTAGTGTGTAGGAAGACAGATACAAGCCCATTCATGAATCTGTGCAAACTCCATATGATTTACTATCCAGCAAAGCTCCTTAGTGTAGTGGTTTTCATGTGCAGATGCTGTCCCTTTCCTTGGACAATTAAGACCATTGCCATTTCCGATAAATGGCCATATTTACATTTGTCCAAGAATGCACCTCTACTGGTTTTCAGACTGTGAGCCACTAGAGGCACTTTCTGCTTCAGATCTTTAAAAAGCACATTCTGCGTCATGGAACACAGCGGAGGTTCTCTTAGAGAGGACTTGTGTTCCATGCTTCTCTATGACAAGCATCGGATTTGTGGAGCACAGCAATTGCAGCACATCCACTGTAAGTCCATAGTGCTTTTCTATGAGAAACATTGAATTGGACAGAAGTCATCAGTCATGATGATCTCAACAATGGTGGAGAAGCTACTGCAAGGAGACTGTCCCAGTAGTGGATTACAAGTAACTTAAAAGGTTTTCACATTTATATTTAAAGTAGGGGGCCCTGAATCTAAAAGAAAAAAATGAAGCCCTTAATATTAAAAATAAATATATTCATTTTCAACATTAGATTGTTCCTTTAATGGCATCCTGAGTCAGTCAGTCAGATCACTTTCGCACAATATTGTCTAACTCTTCACCTGTCTGTTCATTAAGATGTAAATAACTGGGTTGTAGACGGTAGAGGCCTTTGAAAATACAGATGGGATTGAGGCCATTCGTAGGTCGAAATGTTCCCCGCGATGTGTAGTGGCCCATAAAGCAAAGGAGGCATAGGGAAGCCAGCAAAGCAAGAACCCAGCAACCATCACTACCACCATTCTGGTCACCTCCCGTTCAGCTTTCTGAGTGGTGGCTGACTGCTCCTGTTGCTTTGCAACCTATAAGGACCAAGCCACAAAAATTATGACCCTGCAAGTGAACAACATTTGTAACAATGAAAAAGAAAAAGAAAAGTATAATTAAATGTAATTTACTTCTATGTTATTTATGGTCTAACCCAGGGGGTACAGAACCTTCGGCACTCCAGATGTTGTGGACTATATCCCCAATAATGCTCTTTCACCCATAATGCTGGCAAAGCATCATGGGAGGTGTAGTCCAAAACATCTGGAGTGCAGAAGGTTGCCTATGCCTGGTCTAATCCATTGGTTTATAATCAACTGGTTCGGGATCCGAGTTTGTTTTTGCAGGTCTCAGATGTTAGAATAGATACATTATCAAGTTGCCAACAACTGCTCATTATAAATGGGTTATTATAGCTACACTGCTTTCTCCAGTTTAATATAGACCTCTTTGACACTGGGAAGATTAATACGTGGTGGATTTGTTGCTCATCACAGTTTGGTGGCTCCTTGAACCTTCCACAACAGACAGTTATTTTATACCTGAATATTACTAAAATACCAAGAACAGTTTGCCACAATACCTCGTACATAGTCGCTCTTTTTGATGTGACAAACTCAGATGTACATGCACCTACTCCAGATCCTGCACAGACAGAATTAACTATCCCTGTAAACCAGGCATCTCAAATGCTGGCTACCCCCGTTACACAGTTACAACTCCCGTGATTCTCTGGTCATCAGTTGCATTCAAATAATTTTGGGAGCTGTCCATCAACATCTGGTGGGACAGAGTTCGAGATTCCTGCTTTAAAGTAAAATTAACATTATATCTATGTATTTGCTGATTTATTGGCTATTACAGTATACAAATAAAAGTAATACTTTGTCGACTTTGCATGAAAAGAACACTTTCATTCTGTCTGCACATTTCAATTCAACTTACTGCGTGAAGGGTGAGCAGGAGGCGCCCGTAAGAAAATACGATGATGGTCAGGGGAAACCCAAAGCAAAAGCAGAAAAGGAAAAGTACGTAGGATTCATTGTTCCACTTATTGTTCACCGTATACCAGTCAGGTCCACAAGAGCACTGTAAACCTTCTGGGATGTACCTGGGCAAAGCATAAAAATATTCAGAGCTGCATTTAAAAAAAAATAATAATAATAATGATACCTCTAATTGTCTCTAGGCCAGCTGAGTTATAACATTCCCAGGGCAAGCGATATGAAAAAAACAAAACGAATGATTGTCAAGAAATGCCCATATTGTGCTCATATTCTCTCAACTAAATCAGGCACCTATTACAAAAACAAAATGAGTAAACACACCCTAAGTCAAAAGTAAAAGTTGAAAATATGTTATCTGAACAGTATGCTTCCTATTGCCACCAATGGTTTGAAAGTACTTTATAGATAATAATGTATTTATCCATTCCACATCATGGGATAGGAGAAGCAGTTGGCAGTTTCTTGCTCACCAACTATGAACTTTATGACGTTAAGCATGATGTGACTGTACTATGGGGGGGGGGAACCAGAGACCCTCTACATGACCTCTACAATAACCTACACAGTAATATCCATACACATTTCCTGTAATAGAGATCTAATGTTTAAACTTCTTTTGTTGCACAGTCTATTTAATGTAGAATTTCTGATGTCCAATTCTGTTAATACCCTGTTAGAGTCTGCAGGAGCCTTCTGTGTGGGATTAAAGTTCAATTTACAGAGCAGGAGATAAAAAAAAACTCTGAAGTGAGTTAACATCTGATTGAAAATTAAACATTTTTTAATGCAGGTTGTGTCGGGGGGGTGTGGCAAGGGCTGCATAAACAGAAACAAAGGTGATTTAACTTCTAAATGGCAGATAATTGAGCAGCGAGGCTACAGGGGCATGATCTATAAACCAAAACTGATTCATTACAGTAAAGGGACATGATGCCTATCATGTCCCTTTAATATAGCAAATGAATTATTCCTGTCTGGTCCTCTGCGTTAAAAAAAACTTGGACAATGCTGGTCTTCATTGTCGGATTGTGATGAGATGTATAATCTCAAAACCCAATCCTGCCACAAGTTGATCAAGCTCTAAACAACAAATTGTCAATATGTTTGTAAAATATAGACCAGAACAATCAGAGCTGTTCTAACATACATTGTACTCTAAGTGTATCTTAGTTGCTTAGTGAATAGATCCATAAAAACACATGCACAGTGTCACATGGCATTGTCATTCAGACTGCTGTTGCTGTGCTGCCTGCTATTGAGCCTTACATACCTGCAGTCTGTCCATATAAACTCAGAAGGAATGTGGGAAGGAGGTTAATTTGAGAACTGGTGATAGTGTGAAGGGATGATGGGGTGTTTGTGGTGATGATGAAGGTATTCTTGGGGGTCTGAACTGAAAACTGCCTTATTTTTTGCTTAAATCACACCATAAACTCCGACTATAATTTCTTGTCTACGGGTTGTGACTTTTATTTTAAAGGTGCAAGTGATATCGTAAGGAAAAAGACCACATTCCCTTTAAGAGTAATAAACAAAAGATTTTTTTTTTTCACTTATGTTGATCAAGTTGCCCTAAAAGACTCACCAGATTGTTGCACACAATCACAAGAATAAAAAAAACACAAAGAATATATTTGGGGGGTAAAAATAGTGTGTTGGATTGGGCTCCTCCTCCAGTGATGTCATGGTATTCTGGGAACTTTATGCGCATGCACGGCAATTGCCGAAAAAGCATTAGAGCTTCCACATAGGAAAACATTGAGTTTCCTATGTTGTTTTTGAAGGCGTGCCTCTAGTGGCTATCTGGGAGACAGCCATTAGTTTCTCTAAAGACACGTTACTGAAAGTATCATTACTGTGGAGCTCTAGTATAAATTCAGATACATCAGAAATAGTGAACTCCTAGAAAAGAGGGACATTAGGATAAAAAAGAGTGACATAGGGAAATTCTCCCCAAAATAGGGCCTGTCCTTCCTAAATAGGGACACTTGAGGGGCATTATATATAGTTCTCAAATGTATACAGTATATTAGAATGTTGAATAAGAAGTGGCTTACCTGCTCCAGCCCAGCAGAGGTGGAACTGCTGCCACCAGTGCGATGACCCATGTGAAGACACAGCCTGTGATGGCATGGCTCTCCCGGAAAGTGAAGCTCCCCATAGGCTTACAGATCACCAGGAATCTCTCAAAGGCCACCACAGCCAGAGACCACAAACTGACCATTCCTGGAAGGATACAATTAAAGAAATATTCATAATAGATAGAGAGACAGACAGAGAGAAATAGATACAAAGATAGATTAATAGATAGATAGATACGGAAAGTTAAGGAAGGCATTTGCAAATAGATGGGCCCTTTGGAGTATGCAACGTGTCCTCGGTTGACGCATGGGTGGATGTGGCAAAGTGATTCATTCGAAGATGGAAAATTAGAGGGACTGTAAAGAGTTAAAAACTGAGACAAAGGAGCACAGAAGAACCTGTGAATTGTACAACTCTGGTCAATCAGAGATTATTAAAATAATTCACAAAGACAAACACGGATATTAATATTTGCAAACATATCCATATCATAGTGTTTTCTTCTCCAGCTTAACTGACAAAAAAAGAAATCAGTTCTTTGCAGAATAAGGTATTGACAACAGATTTCAAAAGGCTACCAGAAAATCTAAATAAGGGTTCCTCGATTAAGAGAAAGATGGGTAGCTAACCATTGAAACGTCTGGGTGTTAGACAATGTGTCCAGGATCTCTTGGTTATTGTATAGATGGGATTGGGAGCACTCTACAGGATTGCTTTCATATATAAATTGTCATTATTCTATACAATAATCAGCAGAATTATTTTTTTTTATTTGCATGTGTCTGCAACCGGTGAAGAATTTAATTTAATTTCGAGAATATTCATAGTTACATAGCCAAAAAGAGACATGTGTCCATTCATGTTCAGCCTTTCGAACATTTGATTTTTGCTGTTGATCCAAAACAAGGCAAAAAAAAAACCAGTTTAAAGCGCTTCAAATCATGAAACAAACTAGGAAAAACTTCCTTCTTGACCCAAGAATGGCAGTCAGATATTTCCTTGGATCAACAAGATTACCCCACTAATTAAAATGTATATCCCTCTATATAGTGTTTTTGCAAGTAATTATCCAAATGCTGTTAAAACATCTGTATAGACTCTGTTAAAACCACATCTTCAGGCAGAGAATTCCACATCCACATTGTTCTTACTGTAAAATTCCTTCCATTTGCCTTAGACTAAATCTCCCTTCTTCCAGTTTAAATGTGTGACTTTGTGTCCTATGTAAAGTCCTATTTATGAATACAATGGTTTGTATTGGACCCAAATGTATTTGTATAATGCTATCATGTCCCCTCTGAAGACCATAAAGAAACTATTGCCCTGTTGAGAGAGGGTGAGATTTTAATGTTAATATTAGTCTAATATTGTTTTAATCGCAGCTTGAACCATGGGTTGATGTATTTGATACATACTGTTTTTAGTAACAGGCCTCACTAATTCTCAGTAATTAAGTTATAGAATGGGAGGATAAATAGATGCAAACCACTTACCTCCCAACGTGGCCATAAAACCTTCTGCCTTACATGCCCAGGTGCCCAAGGTGAAGTACATTTGAGAGAAGCTATAAAAGGCAGTTGTGGAGCCAAAGATGATCACTACAAGGTTGGCAATAGACAAGTTTACCAGAATGTAGTTGAGATGGGAACGTAGCTTCTTATACTTGGCAGTGCAGATGACGGTCAGGATGTTGAGGGGAAAACCAAAGATGATGGTAAATAACATAAAGGCTGACAAACTCATAAAGATACCAGGGCTACCCAAATGTGTCTGGGGTACCAAAAATGGGCTAATAGAGGAAATGTTAGTGGTTTCCACAGGGATGGGAATGTAGAAGTCGTCTGGCATTTCCATCCTCAAATCTGGACGGCCTTTGCTCATTTTGAAAAACTGGAGAACGCACCACCAATGTTAAAAATAGGACTACGAGGTCATAAAACAACAGAGCCCGATAACCTAGAACACTTAATGGCCCTTCTGGTACTGATGGAGCCTTTCCCCTATAGTACAAAGCAAAGGACAAGCCGAGTGTCTTTTATAGTCATAAAACCAAGAAAAGGCCTGGCATGGGTCCTAATTTCAGTTTCACTCATAATCTTATTTAAAACCAAAAAGCTAGGCTTAATGGTTTTATCCGATGATGGAATCTGCAGAATGGCGGACTTGCTTTGGAAGGTGGAAAGAGATAATCTGCCAGACAATCTTCTTTACTGTCACCTAATCAGAACAGGATGGTTTTAATCTCCTGTACTAAGACACTTTGCAAGAATATTCACACAATTATATGACACTTAATTAATTATGTCAATAATTGTGCCCATAGTAGACTGTGGGATTTTTGCTGTAAGGGGTCCAAAGGCCTCCAAGACGACTTGTACTTTCTCTTCTGGATTAACACCAATAATTTGAGAATTTGGAATTCACAGGCTAAAGTTTATCAAACATTCTAGTGAATAGACATTGCTACATTCAGTATTCCTGTTACTCTACAAAAAAATAAAATACTCCGTCTGTGAAAATGAGCATCGCATAGCATTTAAACATTTGTTACCGGTAATCCTACATAATAAATTCAAGTGTATTTAGCAGGTGGATAGGTGAAAACCTGAGAATTGTAAATTTGTAAATTGTAAAGGGTAATCCAGGCATGGACCCCTTGCTCACAGTGTCTAGAGAGATATCAGCTATGCCTCACTGATGATGCCTAACAAGGCTGAAACGATCGTCTGGGGTTGCTGTGTCTCTCGTGCAGAGGGAACTTGCTGGCATTTCGGATCTGGACTGCCCGTATGGGTGGGACCAATCTGATATGTTTTAGAGATGTTCTCTTTGTAATGGCACAAGATGAGCTAAAACCAGCTTGAGATCTGAGCAGGGACCCACTGAAGGGCAGGCTACTTCAGCTGCTGCCCGTTCTCAGTATTCTCTTGCGCCCCGTTTTTTGCTCTCCACAAACCTGAGAACTGTACAACTATATGGATCCACTTGAGAAATTCTTAATCTCTGGTTTTCGTTTTACTTTTCCACAAGGTTTAGGAACCTAACTTGTATTTGAAAGCTTTGGGTGTCATCGTCATACTTCAAGGTAGATATGTGTCACGATAGTGAGACCCAACACACAAAATGTATCCTAAAATAAAAATGAATAACGTATACTGGTCCTTAGGTTGGCCGGAATTTATGTTGACAAATGGAGAATAGTTAGGAACAAGCCAGATGAAGGGAAACCAGAAACGAAACAGCGAGTAACAATAGTTGAGTCAAGGATTACAGAAAGGAGAGTAATCATTAATAGTTAACATCAGAAGCAGAATTATCAACACGAATATAACGCGCTATTGGGAACTAATAAGAACCACAACAGGACATAGAACCAAGCAGTAAGTAGCTATTCATAGTGTGGCTCATTAACGAGTTAGCCTGACCTCCAAAACGTGAGGGAACTCCGAGATTGACACTGCGTGATGTAATTTACGTCATGACGTGGGTGCACATTGTGTCTTAAAAGTGGACGCAGCCATAGCGGTCTGCGTTCAGACCTCTGGGAAGATTGGAAGAGCCCACAGAGAGATCACAGGTAGGTCACCAGGAGGGCGTGCCCCAAGTGCCTTGATACAAGGGATCCTGACAACATGTTATGGTTTAAAACTGCATTTGTTTGTGTGTGCGCACGGTTCCTTACTCTGTATTTCACATGTAAGCAACAACAGGACAAAGTAAAAGGTCAAGGAGGGTAATTAATTTCAAACCAGTGTCAGTATGTGTTCATACACACAATAATGATTTACTTGATGTTACTTCTTGCCAGGTTTGGACAGGCCATCGAGCAAACCGGTCAAATACCTGGTGGGCCACGATGGCCCTGTACCGAGGCTGACAGGAGAGATCAAAGGATCTCCCTTGCCAGCCCATGCAGAGTGGGCGCTATTGAAGTGCTATTGTGAAAATTGCCCTGAGGCCCCCCTCTATGTCTACCCTCCACCATCCCCCCATACTTCTACCATCCCCCTCCCATATGTCCCCCCCCCACACACACACATGCAGACAAATAGATACACATGCAAACACACATAGACTTAAACACACACATATACAGAGACACACAAATACAGGCACACATACATACAGACACACACATACATACGCACACACATACATACAAACAGACACATACATACAAACACACACACATACATACAGACAAACAGACATACATACAAACACACACACAGAGACACAATCATACAGACACCCATACAGACAGACAGACACACATACATACATACAGACAGACACATACATACAAACACACACACATACATACAAACACACAGTGCCGCATGGAAATACATAGCATCAGGTGGCCCTAACAGCACCACCAGATGGACCCCTTCAATGCGGCGACAACAATGCGGTAACGTGGCCAGAGGGCACTGCAGTCGCAGGGGTCCACAGGGTGGCCGGGCCCCCTGCAGTGAAAGGCCCGGTCACAGCTGCGATCCCTGCGACCACGGTAGTTCTGCCACTGTTAAACCCCCCACACACAGTGCACTCCGCACACACTTCATCTCTACATACACTACAACACTCACACACACTGATCCCGTACATGCTGCACCCCACACACACAGTGCACCGTGCACACACACTGCACTTCTACACACTACACAACTCACACACACTGCACCCCTACATGCTGTACCCTACACACAGTGCACTCTCATACACTCTGCACCCCTACCACACATTGCACCCCTCACACTCACCACACCTCTTACACCCCTGATAATCTAGCATTGCCCCTCCTTAGTTTGGGTGTGGAATCCACCACTGGGCTGTTGTAGCTTACGTTTTGCAAATTAGTTTCAATGCAATTCAGCATTGCAAGAATAAACCCATGTGTGAGGCACGCTACTTCATGAGCATCCACAAATTGCTTTAGTACCCAGACATTTTTATATTGCTATACCACTATAACAATAATAATAATAACAAAGTATTTAACCAGGAAAGGTACATTCAGATTACTCGGGTTTTCAAGTACGTCCTGGGAATGTTACCTTAGTCCAACATCCAGGGGGTGTTACTATTTAATGGTATTAACACTATAACTGACATTGTATGATGCTACATTCCACTAAAAGTAATGCCATTTATTTTCTGTAATTTGAATTAACAATATTTTTCCATTTTAACAGAGCTGGTATTATAATAGAACCTCCTGGTTTCGGTTGCTTGCATTCAATTTATTCACATATGCAATTAGTGATTTTTGGGGAAATAATCAGGGGCCTGTATTATTATTATTATCGCCATTTATATAGCGCCAACAGATTCCGTAGCGCTTTACAATATTATGAGAGGTGGGATTTAACTATAAATAGGACAATTACAAAGAACATTTACAGGAACGATAGGTTGAAGAGGTGCATTATCCCTACTGATCGTGAGTCCAACCACTGTCCATTCAACACTCGTAACCAAATAAAGAGCTTTGTTAAATAATAAATGAATTCAGTTGTATTTGTGATTGCCACCACGCGAGATACCTGTATCATCACAACAAGAATTTTATGAAAGTGGGCCCTGTGTCTTGCAAGACTCTACTTCAAAGCCCCTTTGAGGTATAAGACATGCTACATTATCATTATTTTGGAAAATTTGATTCATGCAAACATATCCCAAATTATATAACCAATTCAGGCCTTATCTGCAGACAATCGGTCTGATAATTCCCTGAAACAAAACTTATCCTTCATTATGTAATATGAGGAGTAGTAACATAAAGCAGCCACCAGGTGGCAGCAAAGTCTAAAATTTAGAAGATGCCAGTGATACGCCATAGGCACAAACCTTTGTCTTGTACATTGTGAATAAATTTCATTACAAGTGCCTACTTGCTCGATACACCACCAAGTGATAGTTAGGGGGTCTGACATTTGGATAGCGTATTGCGGTAATGATAACCGCCAGGGCTGTGGAACGTCTGTTTTATCCTGATGCAAATGAATACCAGCTTGGCAGCACCATTGTAGGTCGTCTGCATACATAGCACCGTGGGTGGAGGTGCTCACATACGTGAAATTAAGTTTTAACTCTTCGAGTGTCAGCCCTATCAATGCCGGCCCCCTAAACCCCCCCAAAAATAAATTTTACTTAAGCGGGCTGTAGTCTTGAATTCACCCATTCACCACCTTATGCAAAATGCCACTTTATAATTATTATTATTATGTTATTTAAATTAAAAGTTATTACCACTTTGATAATAATATTCTTGTAACTGATGTTGATCCAAAGAAGGCGAAAATCAATCAATCGATAAATAAATAAATACGCACACAATATCTGTCAAGAGGTGAAAAAAAAATTATTTCAACTCTAAATTTCTTCCTGCATCAACAAGAGATTGTTGCTATTTACGGTATTTCTAACAGTAGGATGTAAAAAGGATTTTGTTTATTCCTCTCACCACCATTGACCTTAGGCGACCCCTACATACGCAGTTTTATTGAAACGAAGTATATCCTACAGGTCTGCTGAGCTCAGGGCATTAAAGTCTTGACCTGATCCGCTGAATGCTGGCTCGTGATGATGGAATTGTCACTATTTGACAATACGTTGCCGTGTTGGTGTGGTGTTTATACAAATCTTTTAGCATGCCAGAAAGTCTGATAAACCCAGTGAATTAGTAAAAACACATTGCAATAAGTACATAATGTCCACAATGAGCATAATGTATAAAATGGAAGATGTGATACTGCCCCCTCCACTAAGGCAGGTATTAAGGCCCAGACCCAAGAAGTGGGACTCAAGACGACTTCTGGTGAAGAAATGTGTCAATACTTATCCGATCACTCACCTCTCAGAGGGGAGTTAGGGCCACCGGCAGGATCCATACCGGCAGTGCATCGTCCATCATGGTCTGTAGACCAAATTACACCATTTGTACTGAGCACAGCGGCTCGAGCATCCAATGACCCACCACCATGAACAGCCCTCTTGTATAGCACTATCTAAATGAGTTCTCCTTACCAGTACATATGTTTTCTCTGAA